AGAGGAGGAAGCAGGCTCCCTGCCGAGCAGAGAGCCCGATGCGGGGCTCGATCCCAAGACCCCGGGATCATGACCTGAGCCGAAGGCAGAGGCTTTAATCCACTGAGCCACCCAGGCGCCCCAATAAATAAAATCTTTTAAAAACAAAAAATATATATATATATATAGATAGATAGATATGGAAGTTTTTTTCTCCTTATCCCCAATCTATGTTTGGTCAAGATTCCAAAGTAAACCTCTATCCTTATTCTCTTTATCTTTATGCCCAGACTTAATAATTCATGATCATCAATCCACTTAATGCCAAAGCTAAACTTCTACTTGTGTTGATGGTGGCCAAAACATCAGGTGAAGTGGCTAAGAAAAGCACAAAGACTGTGGCTGATATGAAAAATACATTTTATGATGTTGGAAAATGTACTTGGTTAGAATGGGATCTCCTGATACTGAGGGTTAGCTTATTGTAGTATTCTATCCAAGTGCTAGGATAGAATATTTCTTTGTGATTCTATGCTTTCTAGGAGGAAAAACCAGAGGAATGCTATTAGCTAAAGCTAAATCCCAGAAGAATAGGTTTAATGCAGTGTATGCTTTTGTAAAGATCAGAGTCTCCACATATAATAGACTTGCTTCTGTCAAAGACTGATGGAATCATAAACATTGAGACTTAGGGTTCCCAAAGAATGCCTTGATTTTGCTTAAACAGATTCTTTTTTGAACTATAACGTTAGGGAGTTGGTGTACTTTTGGACTATAATGATTTTAGGTTAACATTAATATAAAAATTTGAATTATAAAGTGATATGATTGTCTTCTTGCTTGGATTGTGGATAAAAACTGTATTCAGTATCATTAACTCAGAATTTAGGTATTAAAAAAAGTGCTAGGTAAGAGAGGCCTTGTCTTTCCCTCAAGGAATTTGTACTTAAAAAAAAAAAAAAAGATTTTATTTATTTACTTGACAGAGAGAAATCACAAGTATGCAGAATAGGGGGAAACAGGCTCCCCGCTGAGCAGAGAGCCCGATGGGGGGCTCGATCCCAGAACCCTGAGATCATAACCTGAGCTGAAGGCAGAGGCTTAACCCACTGAGCCACCCAGGCGCCCCTTGAGTGGTTGTTTAGAAGCTTTTATTCCTAGGGGTGCCTGGGTGGCTCATGTGGTGAAGCATCTGACTCTTGATTTCAGCTCACGTCATAATCTCAGGGTCGTGAGAATGAATCCCACATCTGGCTCTGTGCTGGCTACAGGGCCTGCTGTAGATTCTCTCCCTCTGCCCCCCACTCCTACTCTCTCCCTCTCTTAAAAAAAAAAAAAGAAAAAGGTTTTATTCCTCTATAACAACAATTTATATGAATTTAATTGATCTTTGATTTGTTATTTTTGTTTCAGTTCCAGTTCTGTCATGTTGCATTGGTTTTTCCAGGGGAGTACTTGGAACATGATTTGGAAATTTGTTTTGGCTCAGGAGTCCTGAGAGACTAAATTTGATTTATCCTGAAGTCCTATTGATCTACCCCAAAGGAGTTACTGTGGTCATCTCTCTCTAGTTTGCCTGGACTTCTAATAGAAGGGGAATTCATATTCTTTAACCTTAACATTTCTTACCCAATCAGGCAATCTCTTTACTATTAATTTCCAATCTAAGTTTTCTTTGCAGTCTAAAAACCTTCTCTGTTTTCTTCTAGATATGGCCTCTCTGGCAGTGATGTCCTGGATAATGTAGCATATGCTCGAGGGTTCAACACAGACCACCAGACCCAGCTCCTTTATCAAGCATCGGCCATGATGGTGGAATCTAGGTATGTGCTCAGTAGAAGACACAGAGTATGGCCCAGACCCATTACCCTGAATCTTATATAGGCTATTTGGCCAAATTGATAGTAACTTGAATTAGAAATGGGGAGATTTAAGTTTTAGTTCTAGTTTGACACTGTTGCATTGTGGTTCAGGTCAAATCATTGTTAAGAAATGAAGCCATAATTCACTTGAACTTATTGGAAACTTGTTATGTAGTGCCTCAGACAAGAATGTTGTAAAAATCGTGGTTTTTTTTGTTTTTTTTTTTTTAAGATTTATTTATTTGAGAGAGAGAGAGAGAGCATGAGAAGTGGGAGGGTCAGAGGGAGAATCGGGCTCCCTGCTCATGCGGGACTCAATCCCAGGACTCCAGGGTCATGACCCGAGCCGAAGGCAGTCGCTTAACCAACTGAGCCACCCAGGCATCCCTGTAAAATTTGTTTTAATAAAACACTTATAGGGGCGCCTGGATGGCTCAGCAGGTTAAAGCCTCTGCCAGGGTCCTGGGATCAAGCTCCGAATCGGGTTCTCTGCTCAGCAGGCAGCCTGCTTCCCACCCCCCCTCTGCCTGCCTCTCTGCCTACTTGTGATCTCTGTCAAATAAATAAAATAAAAATCTTTTTAAAATAAATAATAAAACATTTATATACGAGTATAGCTAAATATGAAAAGTTTAAGGTAGTGAGGAAGGGAGCATAATCTGACACAGGCTAGAAATAAGCTTCATAGAGTCCTTGTTCCCTGTAGGTATGCGCTGCTCATTGTAGACAGTGCCACTGCCCTGTACAGAACGGACTATTCAGGTCGAGGGGAGCTTTCAGCCAGGCAGATGCACTTGGCCAGGTTTCTGCGAATGCTTCTGCGACTTGCTGATGAGGTAAGGTGTATCGGGACAGAGAATGCCTAATTTTCAGGGGCCTCACTGGGAGGCCAGAACATCAGGGCCTGGTTTCCCAGATAGGAAGAGGTATATTAATCATTCATTACTTTGTGGCGGAAGGGGTGGCAGCAGTAAGGTCCTTTGAATGGCCACAAAAAATGACATTTATCCTTTCTCCGTCAGTTTGGTGTGGCAGTGGTAATCACCAACCAGGTGGTAGCCCAAGTGGATGGAGCAGCCATGTTTGCTGCAGATCCTAAAAAACCTATTGGAGGAAATATCATTGCTCACGCTTCAACAACCAGGTAAAGTGAACGGATAGGTGACTTTGTCTTAGAATGTCATATTAACTGAAGTGGACATGAGGATCTGAATTTCCATTTAAATCCAGTCAATGCTACCACAGGAGTCATTGTTAAACGTTAATTGTCATGCTCTAATTAGTGCATATGTTTGCTTTCAGTTTATAAAGGAATTAAAAGCCCTCAGATACGCAAGACTGCATACGAAGGATATGCCTCTCCCTCATTAAGAAAGTAATTGTTTCAATATAAAATCCACTAAAGTTGGAAGCGGGGTAGGAGTGGATTCCTCCAAGTTGGAAATGCCCCTAAGGAATACAGAAAGATTCCCCAGAGTCCTAGGAAGTATATAGGTCTGAAAAAAATCTAGAGCTACTATAAGACAAAGATTTTTAAACTGTAACTGTCGGTTTTTTTGGTCAGACTGTATCTGAGGAAAGGAAGAGGGGAAACCAGAATCTGCAAAATCTACGACTCTCCCTGTCTTCCTGAAGCTGAAGCTATGTTTGCCATCAATGCAGATGGAGTGGGAGATGCCAAAGACTGAAACATTGAGGTTTTTCCTGTGATAAACCTCAAGTGCTATAGCCTGATGGAGAGGACTGCTCCCTGGGGTTCTTCATAGGCCTCTTCCTGTTCTGACTGCCAGAAAAGGGCTTCTGGAAAAACAGCTATTGTATCAGCTTTTCTGATGGTGTAAACAGGAGACAAGGTCAGTAGTCACAAACTGATCTGAAATGTTTATTCCGTCTGGAGTGTATTAATTTCTTTGTGAATTATTTCAAGGGCAGTAAAGGAATACCTTTGACATGGTGCCTTGGGTTGACTCAGGAGTAATGGTTGTCTACTGGACAATCTTTAGTTTTCCTGCAGACATAAGCTGGGGAGACTGGATTCTTCTCTCACTGTTCGAATAATGTTGAAATGCCTGTGTGGCAAAGAAAGTGGTTCTTTTCTGCCGATAAAACTCTCGTCAGTCAGAAACAGTTTAAGTTAGTTTGCCTGAATTATCTTATGTAAGAATTTTTTAGTTAAGGGCTATGGGGCAGGCCTACTGGAACACCAGCCATCCAACTGTCTGCTTGCTTGGGTTTTTAATTGCCAAGAGTAACTCAAGATAATTTTGGAATCTTAAGCATTTAGGGGCTCTTTAAGTAGATTTAGTGTAGAGCTGCTAATAAAGCAGTTATTTGTGCTGTTTACAGGAGTTGTTCTTGTATAAACTGAATATTTCAAGATAGGACCTTCAAAATAACTTTTGGCACTTGAGTGATCAGTTTCTATTGCTTTAAAATTGAAAATTTTAAAGGGAAGTCATATATTCAGTTAGTAATTATCCTTCAGGCTAATAGAGATTATTACAAGATGAATATCCCATGACTTTCCAATGGCCTTTATGAGTCTTATGTTGTAGAGCCCAGATATTTGTCCGGATTATTCTACTTTAGGGATTTGAGATCATCCTCCCCTTCTCTTTCAGACTTATACTCAGGATGGCTTTTAACCAGCTCTTTGAAATTCAGAGGGCCTGGCAGCTAGTACTGGGAGGAAAGGCACAGAAAATCTCTGCTGTTGCTGTGTTGATCCTACTGTATTTAGGGAGATAGGAAGACAGTCAATTTAATGCAGCTTTGCTTAAAGAATGGAGTACCTCTCCAGTCTTGTCTTTCATTTCTATACCACATAACAAACCTGGGATGGTAGAGTAAGCCAGGGTGACAGAATCTGGAATGGAAGCTTGGTTCTTATACAAAAGCTTGTCAGTCTTACCTCAATTATTCTTGTAGGTGAATTAGTTTATCAGGTGAGATTACGCTTTGTGCTGTTAGCCCTAAGAGTAAAACAGTTGGAATAGGCCTTGTTAGGCTAAAAGAAGCTCTCTGTGTTGTACATAACTAAAAACCCAAGAGTTTAAACTTTTTGGTGCTGTTTTTCTGTTTGTCTGCAGTAGTTTCAGTAGTAGAAAACAATTACAGAAATGTCAGGCAAGAAAGGAGCAGATGGCAAACATAGGGGAATATAGTCAAATTTGGTTTATTTCAGGTTTATACCAAAATATATTCCAGGCAACTCCTTAAGATCATTGTTTCACAGTCTCATAAGCCTTATGCACTGGTGTCCTTCCAAAAGCTGCCGGGACTCTGGAAGTGCAGTGGTTCAGCTCCTCAGCCCAGGAATACAGTTAGAATCCACATGATAGATAAGAGGGCAATATCCATGGGCTGCCCTGACCTTTCCTTTTACCCTGATAGGGTATAAGAACGATATAGTTTGGTTTTAAATATTAATAGAAAAGATTAGCGAATACAAGTTCTGTTTTGTTCTTAGAGCTCTTTGAAGTTCACCTACCTCATCAGTAGGCTGAAGGCAGCCGTCAGTGCTATATATATATATATCTTGATTTTTCAAGAATTCACTTAAGACAACTATAGAAATCCAGGCCTTAAGTACTTCCCCAATTTCAGATAAAATAAGGGATTAGAATAAATTAACCAGTGGGCAGTGGGAAAGAAACTGGGGAATGGTTATGGATACCAGTCAGACCCAGGAGTCAGGACCATCACTTAAGCAGTCTTAGATTCCTGATGATCTAAGCAGGGCAGTCTCCCTCAAGTCATGAAGGCCACTGAAATGTGATTATTCTCTTAAAATTATTTCCAGTTCTTCCAAGTCCTTCTGGAAAGCCGAATCCTAGGGAGACAAGAAAGACTAGGCCTCAAAAATCTAAGCCAACTCCCAAACCACTGATAACTTCCCTTCTGAGCTCTGTTATCAGTCTTTAACCGACCTTCCCAGGATAGCTTGCAGCCTATGAAATCTGCCTCCTCCCCAAGGTGAGATATATACAAAGACCACTACATGCAAAAGTGTAAACTCTCTTTTATAGGGAAAATAAAACCTCAAGGGAAGATTTTCTTCCCTGGAAAAGTTCAAATGATTCAATAATGGAACCTAGTATTAGAGAAGCTCTTCAAAGTATTACCTCATTGGTGACATCTGGCAACTCCAGGGCTAACTTCATCCATTGTCTAGCTTCAGAGTTTTTTCCTACTTCTCTGTAGCACTGAGAAGAGACAACAGTGAAAACCTGGGAGAAACACCACCAGGAAACTGAACTTTCAGGACTTCCCATTATATATCAACATGTAATTTCATCTACATTGAAAAAAGCAGTTGAGTTTACCTTGGAAATATATACCCTCCCTGCTTTAGAAAATCCTGGCTGTAGTTCTTCAGCCTAGAAAAGGAAACAAGGCATTTCAGGGAATTACCAAATTCAAGTCAGGCTGAAGTTTATTAAATAGAGCTTTCCAGTCCTGGCCTGGGGAACTCTATTTTTATAAGCTGTCCAGGTGGTTCTGACTTTCTCCTTCAACAGGCAAGCCTAAAATCGCAACCTACCAGAAATCCCTCCCTTCTTTCCCAATACCTTCAGGAAGCTTTGGAGGGCATCCTGCACAGTGGCGCTGAGAGGGCTTTCAAACAAAGCTGCAGCAGTTTTTTTTTCTAGCCAGCTCAGGTGAGAGACCTGCCACCAAAAGATCCAAGTGTGAATAAAAAAAAATGTGGTCTGTTTGTTTTTGAGAGAGAGAAAACTGAGGAGGGCAGGGGGCAGAGGGAGAGACTCTCAAGCAGATTCCCTGCTGAGCTTGGAGCCTGACAGAGGCTCAGTCTCACGACCCCGAGATCACGACCTAAGCCAGAACCAAGAGTAGGGAGTTCAACCACCTGAGCCACCCAGGTGCCCCAGAAGGCAGCTTACCTGGTAGCACCACCTGCCGAGGAGAAAGTGAGCCATAGGGTTTTCTGGCTGGAGAGCGATGGCTTTGTCCACATGCTCCTGAGGGGGAAATGTAAATATAAATTGACATCAGAGGAAAGATGTCAGGAAGAAGGAATGTAAAGGATGTAAAGATGTAAAGGAAGAAGAACAAGTCGTAGAGACTATAGGAACACGCTTTGCAAGGAGCAAGGGAAGAGCAAGGAATCTGGACTAGAGCAGCACCAGGGAAGGAAGAGAAGCCTTTCCTCACCTTGAAGCTAAAGCCACTCTGGATGCGCCTCTGGATGCTCTCATGCTCAGCCAGCTGACCACAGAGCACCGCGTACCTAAGGGGGAAAGCCGCAGCAAGCTCGGGGACAAGGAATGGGCTTCCCATCCACTGCCCCCAACCCCTCAAGTAAAGCTGAAAACAGCATCTCTGTATGTACAAAATTCCTCTTTTCACAGATCTGTGGTCCTAGTTCACATTCTTTAGCAAACAGTGGTAGGCTCACAATTCTCCAAAGTATGCTAGGCATAAAAAAGTGGGGTCCACCAGTCAACTTCTCATACTTAACATTTAGGCAGTGTCTCAGTCCAAGTCTCCACAAGTTTCCCCCTATAAATAACCATTAGGGGTCATAAAAACTTAAAAAGCAGATCTCTAATAATCAGCATCAAAATGTAAGGGACCTAAGTACATTGGTTCTTATCTCCAGAGCAGACACTAAAAGGTCTCGTTGACTTTAAAAGCATACAGGCATGTCCTTGGGAAGCTATACTCCAGGACAAACTGGGATGGGATAGATACTCTACGAAATTCTAATGTTAATTTGGGAACCAAGAGAAGCAGAGGAAGAAAGTCCACATCCTTCCTTCCATGGGGAACAAAACCCTCAGCTTCCCATCTTCTGTCTTCAAAAACAAAGGCCTCACTACCCTATCCCCCAACCATTGTTTCTAGAAGCACAGCTGACATTAAATGAGTGTCTAGAGACCCAAGGTGCTTTTTCATATATTCAACAAATACTGGGGCGGCAGGGAGGGATTTCTAACACTTCCAGAGGCTCGTTTCCGTATTTCCTCCAAAAAGCCACTCCTCAAGAATAAAGTGTAAGACCAGTTTCCATCCTTGGGCGTCCAGGAGCCCCAAGGAAATCCAGAGAAGTGGCAATGACCTGGCCTCTGAGAAGAGCTCTTGCAGAGACAATCTTAGGACAGAAATATGGAAAGCAAAGGAGAGGTGAGAAGGGAATTTTCAATAAAACTGAGGTGCTGGAACCAGGCCCCAGGACATGAGTTGGCCTTAACCCATGGAAGCTGGCAGAACTTTGCCTCTCATGAGACAACAAAAGCAGGGCTGATGTTTTTGTAAGGTAATAAACTAAACTTCCTAGGGTTGAGCTCACATTCATTTTAACTCATGCAAGCCAAGCAAAGAAGCCAAAGTCTACCACCAGCCAGGGACTGCAGTCAGGGGAAAAAAGAGCTTGTGCAGGACACGGGAGCCACCCTCCCTGAAGAGCCAAGAACCCACACGTTTTGTAGCAAGGATGACTCTTAAAAAGCTACGCATTTCTCTAAGCCCCAACAACAGCAGATCTTCGAATTCCCCCTTGCCTCACTCCCAGAGCACTTTCCAGTGAAAACTCCCCTGGGTCCCTGGTTTGGATTAGGCCCAGCCATATGATAATAAAGGCCAGAGCTCCCTCTTCTGTTTCCTCAGGCAGAGAAATGGCTCTCTTCCACTGTAACTCATGCTAGCTCATTACAGGACTCTGCAGGGGTTTCTTACCACTGGTGACATTCAGCATTCTCATCCCCCTTCTCCAGGGCAGCCTCTGCTTCTTCTTTTCCTGTAGGGACAAAGGTGATTCTGAGTTCATAAGGGCTCCCATGCAGACTTAGACATGAGGGGCTGTGGCAAGAATGACTGCTCTAGCCCTTACCAATCCCTACCCAACCTGGATTTGTCTGGAATAATTTTGAATTTGAGCAGAATGAAAAGCTACAAATAGCTTCCCAGGGATAACTTCTGCTTTACCTCATTCTTTTCCCTCTCTGTCGTCAACTGCCCAATTACCTTCTTTTTATAACACCCACCTGATGTGTTCACAGTTGTTGGGGTTTTGGGGTTTTTTTGTCTAAGCATTGGGGGCTGGGAGAGAGAATCTCAAGCAGAGAACGTTCTGAGCAGAGAGCCCCATGTGGAGCTCGACCTCACAACCCTGAGGTTATGACTTGAGCCAAAACCAAGAGTCCGGGGCGCCTGGGTGGCTCAGTGGGTTAAAGCCTCTGCATTCGGCTCAGGTCATGATCCCAGGTCCTGGGATCGAGCCCCTCATCGGGCTCCCTCCTCTCTCTCTGCCTGCCTCTCTGCCTACTTGTGATCTCTCTCTGCCAAATAAATAAATGAAATCTTTAAAAAACAAAACAAAACCAAGAGTCCAACACTCACCTGACTGAGCCACCCAGGCATCCCTCAAAGCATTTTAAGATTTTATTTTTTTTTTAAGATTTTATTTACTTATTTGACAAAGAGAGAGATCACAAGTAGGCAGAGATGCAGGCAGAGAGAGAGGGGGAAGCAGGCTCCCCGCCGAGCAGACAGTCTGATGCGGGGCTCGATCCTAGGACCCGAAGATCATGACCCAAGCCAAAGGCAGAGGCTCAACCCACTGAGCCACCCAGGCACCCCAAGATTTTATTTATTTTTTTGACAGAGAGAGACACAGCGAGAGAGGGAACAGAAGCCCAGGAGTGGGAGAGGGAGAAACAGGCTTCCCACCAAGCAGGAAGCCCAATGTGGGGCTTAAACCCAGGACCCTAGGATCATGACCTGAGCCGAAGGCAGATGCTTAACAACTGAGCCACCCAGGTGCCCCTCAAAGTATTTTAAATGTAGGGGCGCCTGGGTGGCTCAGTGGGTTAAGCCGCTGCCTTCAGCTCAGGTCATGATCTCAGAGTCCTGGGATCGAGCCCCGCATCGGGCTCTCTGCTCAGCAGGGAGCCTGCTTCCTCCTCTCTCTCTGCCTGCCTCTCTGCCTACTTGTGATCTCTCTGTCAAATAAATAAATAAAATCTTTAAAAAAAAAAAAAAAGTATTTTAAATGTAAAAGAACCCAATGGTTGGCGTGCCTGGGTGGCTCAGTGGGTTAAAGCCTCTGCCTTCAGCTCAGGTCATGATCCCAGGATCCTGGGATCGAGCCCCACCTCGGGATCTCTGCTTAGCAGGGAACCTGCTTCCTCCTCTCTCTCTCTGCCTACTTGTGATTTCTGTCAATTAAATAAACAAAATCTTTAAAAAAAACAAAAAAGAACCCAATGGCAATCAAACTGTCCCAAAGAGACCTTATCCTAGGGGGGTATAGGCATGCTTTAGGGTGTCCATGAATCCCTCTGAAGTTGTATAAAAATTTAGGTGCATGTGTATTTTATTGAGGAGAGGGTCTACCTTGCCTTTTGATCAAATTCTCAGAAGACTATGATCTAAAAACAATCACATCTCTATGCCAAAACTCAACAGAGCCGAATATCTGGCCAGAAATGACATTCATTTAGTTTCCAAAGCACCAAGACTGACAAATCAAGGCCTACACACATGAAAGCTCTTGACAAGGATCTCCTATGCAGTCATGTAGTCTGGAGCCTTCTAGCTGAGGAACATCATGCCTACAATACTGGAGAAAAGAGCACACTGCCAAATGGGACTTCTTTGATTAAAATGGAGAGCACTTCAAAGGGAATGTGGAGAAGATGGGGCAAAAGTAATGGGTTGATACCACCTCACACCAGTCAGAATTGCTAAAATTAACAAATCAGGAAATGACAGATGCTGGCGAGGATGCGGAGAAAGGGGAACCCTCCTACACTGTTGGTGGGAATGCAAGCTGGTGCAGCCACTCTGGAAAACAGCACGGAGGTTCCTCAAAATGTTGAAAATAGAACTACCCTATGACCCAGCAATTGCACTGCTGGGTATTTACCCTAAAGATACAAACGTAGTGATCCGAAGGGGCACGTGCACCCGAATGTTTATAGCAGCAATGTCTACAATAGCCAAACTATGGAAAGAACCTAGATGTCCATCAACCGACGAATGGATAAAGAAGATGTGGTATATATACACAATGGAATACTATGCAGCCATCAAAAGAAATGAAATCTTGCCATTTGCGACGACGTGGATGGAACTAGAGGGTATCATGCTTAGCGAAATAAGTCAATTGGAGAAAGACAACTATCATATGATCTCCCTGATATGAGGGAGAGGAGATGCAACATGGTGGGTTAAGGGGGTAGGAGAAGAGTAAATGAAACAAGATGGGATTGGGAGGGAGACAAACCATAAGTGACTCTTAATCTCACAAAACAAACTGAAGTTTAATGGGGGGAGGGTGGTTGGGTGGGGGATTATGGACATTGGGGAGGGTATGTGCTATGGTGAGTGCTGTGAAGTTTGTAAACCTGGCGATTCACAGACCTGTACCCCTGGGGATAAAAATATATTATAATGTTTATAAAAAATAAAAAAAAAATTAAAAAAAAAAAAGTAATGGGTTGAGGTGATAGGCTGGCTGATGTGAAAGGTTTCCTCATGTTTAAATGATAGTAACAACAGTAAGATGTTGTATATCCAACAAATACATTTTTAAGTTGGCTGATGAGAAACGCCACCACCAACCCCCTCTCCACCCCCTGCAGCTTAACCTCCCCCCCCTTTTTTTTTATTTACTTATTGGACAGACAGATCACAAGCAGGCAGATAGGCAGGCAGAGAGAGGAGGAAGCAGGCTCCCTGCTGAGCAGAGAGCCCGATGTGGGGCTCGATCCCAGGACCCTGAGATCATGACCCGAGCTGAAGGCAGAGGCTTTAACCCACTGAGCCACCCAGGCACCCCAACCTCCCCTTTTTAAACAATGACTGTGTATGGCCCCATCCGTGAGGGACATTGTCTCTCAGTGCTTTGAAGTGGGCAAAGAAAAAAATCCACTATCTTACTAGAAAGTAAGAGCTGAGCATTCTTTCCTGCCAAGCTAGACAGAGGAGTAAAAAGATACCACATAAGATCCCACAGAATGGCTGCCTCTTGGTGCTCCAACTTTTAGAGATAGAACAAAATGGAAAGGACCATGAAGGATGGTCCTAAAAAGCCAAATTCTAGGGCTTCCAAGGCTGCTCCATCTGTCGTTCAGCAGGAGCAGACTTGCACAGGGGGTCCAAGCTCTGCAGATCAGACCAGAGCACTGACAATGGCTGCTCTAACCATCACCCTACCTCCACCTTTAGGTTTCATGCTGGCCACTGTACTAATAAGTGATGATCAATGGGGGTGCTGGGGTTAAGCTTCAACTCTTGGTTTTTGGCTCAGGATCTCAGGGTGGTGAGATCAAGTCCCATGCTGGACTCCACATTTCCCTCTCTCCTCCCCACCCCCCCCCCACAACCCTGCTCATGCTCTCTAAAATAAATAAAATCTTAAAAAAAAAAAATCAACAATCGAAAGGAAAGATTCTTTTTGGTACCAAGGAGTCCAAATACCAGCCCAAAAGCTCATCAGAATCCTTACCTCAAATTTAGGAGGGAACACAGAAACTTTTGAAAAGAAAGAAGCAAAAAGTAATTAAGCACCTTCTGTTAAAACCTGGAGATTTTTCTGATGATTTGCCTCAATAAACATTCAACTCAACTGACCTGTTCTTTCTATACTGACAATACAAATGCTTGAAACAATGACCTTGAGGTATTGTCAGAGTCTACATTAGCAAAGATTCGATGTTTCTAAGTGAGGAGGTAGACATATCCACTTTGGAAAGTTAACTTTAGGTATCTAACTGAACCACAAGACCCAGAAGCCCACGGACAGTACCCGACTTGTGTGTGGGTAGGCAGGACCCATCTTCCCCACAAAACCAGTCATTTTCCAAAGTCTCAGGATTCTCAGTGACATGACAGATTGGGACAAGCCCCGAGTTCGGCATCATTCATATGCACCCTATCCGCCAGGACACAGACTTTGGCAACAGTTTTTAAGTAGATTCCAAGGACTCCTAAGCTAGCAGCATTCTTCCAAACCGCCGCTCACAGGCTCTCACCAAACATAGTCTGCTGATACTCTCAGAGAATATCTGCCTCAAAGGCTCCATAACTCAAACCAGATTCCTAAGCAGCAGCAAAAAAAAAAACCCCTTCAGATTAAGAAAACAGGCTTTGCCCTCTCCTGCAGGTGGGGAGTGAGAACAATTATCCAAGTATGCTACAGCTACCCCTAAAAACATTTGCCCGGGTATTAATCACAATGTGCAGGGAAGCAGTGACCACTGTCTAAAAAAGGAAGCAGAAGTCCCTGGGAACCCGAGTTTGTCCCCAGTGAATAACTGAGCCACCACTACCCTGACAGCCTATTATCTTGGTGGTTCCCCTAAGCCCCAAACAGATGGACCAGCTCAGCCCCAGAATCAGTCACCTTCCCATCAGGAATCTGTCAGCACTTACCATTTAGGGCATATGACTTCTTCTCGCTCACCTCTTCAGTGAGCTCACACATGTCACTATAGGCCCGGGCCAGGCGCCAGAGAAAGTCCTGCCGGCTTCCATACTGTAGACCAAACAGAGAGGGAGGGATGAGACCCCTCTTCTTCAGCTGCAGAGAACTGGGGCTCTGGCCTTCTACCCAAGCCCTAGGTTTTAGTTTCCAAGCTAGTGTGTTATACACAGACGTCAGGCCAGCCTTATGCACAGCCCTCCGCCCCGACGCGCCCCCACCCGCAGTTAGCTGACCGGTCGGTGATCCGTCATCTCTGCCCAGTAGCTGGCAGAAGCCTCCGAGTGAGGGCACACTGTGAGGAGCAAAGCTCAACTCCAACACGAAATGCGACTCCGTGAGTCTGGCTGACACAATGAAAAATGTGAATTCTCACATTTCCCAAGAAAAGGAAACATTCTAACTCTGGGACATTTCTACCTGGGTGTGCATAAATCCTTGCAGTGAACCAGAAAAGGGAACTGTGGTTGAGTGACCTCCACACTTGTCACTCGTGATGGAAACTTCAAGTAGGGCAAGCAGCTTAGGCTCTGCCACAAGGGAAATAGAAGAGGAAAAAAATATTCCAGTTCTTTTCACACTTCTCTCCACTGTGAGTGGTAGAGCTCTTTTGCAACAGCTCTCCAGGAGGCAGAGGGCTGTGGGGAGGCGGCTTGGGGCAGGCGGTACACCCAGGCCCACAGGACATGCAAGTCTGGGGGATGCGTGCAGAAGCAGCCAGCTCACCCCCCCTTTCCCTTCCCATGGCCTCCGGCAGGCTTGTAAGCGACACCGGCCTTCCCCCACTCCCAGGGCTTGTGGGGCCAGTGCGGGCAGACAGGCCGCCGGAGCCTTACCGCCAGCTTATTGTTGAGCAGCAGCTGGAAGCCCTCCCGCCTGTCCTGCTCGCCGCCCTGGTGCAGCTCATCCGCCTGCTGCAGGAGGGGCAGCACATCCTCCAGGCCCAGGGAGCCTGCAGTGTCCAGGGCTCCGGCCACCGGGCCTGATGCCACCTCCAGCTCCAGGTCCAGAGAGTCCCTTCTCCCGATCTTCACAGTCTCACAGCTCACTTCATCTCCCCCATCATCACTTTCTCTGTCAGAGTCCCGCTCATAGTCAGACTCAGCATTGGCTGTGGTATAACTGGGGCAGAGAAACAGAAGTGACAGAGTCAAGGGAGATTCTTTTTTTTTTTTTTTTTTTTAAGATTTTTTTTGACTGGCAGGCGGGGTGGGGGCGGGGTGGAGCCGGCTCCCCGCTGAGCAGAGAGCCTGTTGCGGGGATTGATCCCAGGACCCTGAGATCATGACCTGAGCCAAAGGCAAAGGCTTAACCCACCGAGCCACACGGGAACTCCAATGGAGTTTATTTTGCCTCAGAGCTCTAGGGCTGTCTCCCACCCACAAAGAGGGACTCCTGCTGTCCGGAGCACCAAGTAAAAACCATTTCTACCACATAGGGGCAGAGAAAGCTTCCTATGGGAACCACAGACTGGCAAAATGATCCCGGAGGGAAAGTGACCAGCTGGGGCACTGGGGCAGTCAGGGTCATATGAGACGATCCCCACCCCCACCCCCGCCCTGCAAGCTATCAAGTCGGCCAGAGAATCAGAAAAAAACAGAAGGCTAGAAAGAAGCCTAGAAAGGAATTTACCAAAATGTTGCTAATAGATCTCATGGTAGAAGAATTAAAGGAAGTTTTTCTATTTTTTAACATTATGTATGATTGCTTTAGTGAGCATATATTCTTTTAAGTAAAAAAGAAAGAAATACTTAAGATAAAAACCATTATGTAAGTGGAGCTGATCTCCTGAGCTGGGCGGCTCACCAGGCTAAGGGTGTGTCGGTCATTTTTGCCTTATCAGCCAAAAGCACCGCCAGAAACAACATGGGTGGGTGCCAGCCTCCAAGGCCACGGGCAGCCCAAATATCTACATCTTCTTTCTCAATTCTCGGTACACCTCTGTCCTAAGTCAGCAACCAAACCTAAACCACAATAGGAGTAGCCCTTGGAAACCTTAGGAACTTGCTGGGGTGGGGAAAGGCCACTTTGCAGCTGGAATCAGGAGAGGAGGAAGACGGAAACAGAAGTGCCTGCGAAGATTTCTCTGGGGCCGCCACAAGCCAGGCAGGCGTGTCCCTGGAACCCCCTACCTTGATGCACTCACTGAAGGGGAGGCTGCGTTTCTGTTGGATCTCAGCCTTCACCGGGAGCTCATTAGGGTGTTCTCCCTAACTGCCAACTGAATCAGACAAAAACTGAGCAAAGGACAAGGTCAGACTTCCAGGGTCCAGAAGCAGACACCAGAGAAGCCTCCAGACCTGAGTAAAGGAAAAGTAGCTTCTATCAGAGCCAGAAGGTTCTGAAGCACAGGGAAGATCTTAGGGTCACTTAGGGATAGGCCTTCCTCCATCCTAGAATGAAAGACAGGGACAGGATACTAAGCTGGCACAAAACAGACCTGAAGAAGAGATGAGAAAGGCACCTACAAAGACAGGGCAAGACAGCGTCAAGTCCGGCTGCAAGTGGTAGGCCAGAGAGCCACACACAACAAGGAGACGGCCTCCACCCAGAAGGTACCAAGTAAGCAAACAGACCGAGTTCCCAGTCTGTGCCGCTGCTTCACAGAGGAGCTTCCAGACTCATCTAAAAAAGGGCTCCAGGAACCTGTAGGGTATTGACCTTAGCTACGCCTTGCTTTTTAAGATGTTATCCAAGTTCCTTCCCCTCTAGCAATGGGCACGAGAAACATTAGAAATTAGAGGCACAGGAAAAGTGGCAGAGGTTTTACAACCAACCTGAGTGGTGATGAACAAGACCACACAGAGGCAGCCTAGACAGACTCCCAACCAATTCTGAAGCCTTGGACAACGACCTGCCCAAATGAGAAAATCAAATCAGAGTCTACCAGTGCCTCTACTCAGCCCGGCCAGACCAAAGGCATGATGGATAAATGGGTTAATATGGGGTAAGGAGACAGAGTCTTGTACCCTATCGTTAGAAGGAAAGGGAGACACCATTGCCTGAACTCCCTCCAATGAGGAGTTCAAATCAGGAGTCTCCCGGGGAGGGACCCTTGCTCTGATCACTTCTAGTGCCTAGCAATCAGCAGTCTCTCTCCCGGGAGCTCACGTGGCTGAGGAATGGGAGTGATCAGGAAGGACTCCGGGGCCACCCACAGAGTAAGAGCTGGTGGAGCCAGTGAGGCAGGGAGGCCCCAGTGAGGCTGAACAGTGAGGAGGCCTTTTTGGCACCTAGCTCCACTTCAGGGAGCTTTGCCTTGCTAAGCTGCACCCCGCTGGCTGCCATGCCGTGGGCGGCCAGACACCTGCTGCCTCAGCACAGACATCAGTCCTGTGAGCTTCCAGGCCTTCCACAGCAACATGGGCTGCGACCCTATGTTCACATCATGCTCTCCCACATGTCAGACCACCAATCCAGCCCGTGGAGAAACCCACCAGAGCAAGGATGGTCCCTTTGTTTAACATGCCTTACGGCTTTTGACACCTGCCAGGGACTGGCAGGGACCTCTAAAAAGGCTCTTCGGAGCTGTATCCTTGGGTGGGACACATTGTTCCCACATACGGTAGAGAACCCATGGCTCCTTCGGAGCAAGGAGGCCAGAGACGCCCGACTCTACCCCTTGAGGAGAGCCCACGAGTCAGTGATCAAGGACTCAGTTACACACATACCCCTTCTGATAATTAAGTTTCCTTCTTTTGACTCCTCCTAAGCCCCATTAGAGGGGCTGAGCTAAAGCATTCAAAGACAACCAGGCATGGGAGACCCTCAGTGTTGGGGAAGATAAGACCAACCTAAATGAGGTAATAAATGCCCAAGAAGGAGTGGCAGTGAGGTTGCAGGCAATCTTTTTGGCTGGGATGCCTGGGAAGGCTTGCTGGAGGAGCTGGTGTTTGAGGGCAAGCTGGGTTTTGACCAGGAGAGAAGTAAAGTTACGTTTGGTACAATATTCAGGGAACAAGCCTGTGGACCCACACAGTGACTCTGCCTCTGCCATATTCAGTCAGTCCCCTAGGAGCTCAAAGTTGCTATTTTATGCGGAAGAAAAGGGAATACAGCTTTCGGTGGAGTAGGCTATTCAATGTTCTTAGCTTTTCATCCCTCAAAGAAGCACTCCCACAAGTTCAAAGCCATTCCAGAGTTTGGTCTCCTCCCCAAATTCCCCCTTGACCTATATGGCAGTGACCATGACAAAAAGAATTATTCACCATGGGCACTGCCCCAGAGAGCGCCAGCTAAACCGGAGTCTTGCACCACGTACCACACCAGCAGCTTCTACATGCCTCCAGATCACTCCTGGGCTGAGTCTGCTCGTAATTAAGAAAGCCACCTTTCCTCTCATCCCATCAGGTGGCTGATAAGCCTGTCCTTGCCCTTAGGGCCTTCACAGCCCCAGTGAGCACCTCAAGCAGTGAAGCTCCCATAAGCTTCCTGGGTTAAATCCTCTGGCTCTCACTGTTGCCAAACTTTGTACAACTTTCTTCCTTTCTTAAGATTTACTGGAGAGGGAGAAAGAGCGAGTGAGCGCATGTGCACAGGCAAGCAGGGGGAGGGGCAAAGGGAGAGGGAGACAATCTGAGCAGACTCCCCGCTGAGCACGGGGCCCTACCCCAGACTCAATCCCACCGCCCTGAGATCATGACCTGAGCCAAAATCAAGACTCGGTCACTCAACCGACTGAGCCACCCAGGCACCCCTTGTACAACTTCTTGAAATCATCATTGAAGGCCCTGAGTTCTATATCACTTTGGGCAGAGCTGTGACCTCTCCTGTTCTACCCTCTTACAAACGTTAAGTTTCCCACCCAAGTGACCTGCCTGAATGGGTTGCATACAAATGCTCCTTAAGTCTCAAGGCCCACTACCAATTACTTTGTCCTTCTCTTCAGTCCAGATATTCCAGATATGCCAAATACAAATTCCATTTTTGCCCTTGACAATGTAGGTAACAGGGATCAGAGAACTCCGACAACAGTAGTCACAAAGGGAGGACTAGAGCTCTTACCGAGATGGCTTGTGCAAGAGGAGCCTGGGCAACCAATAATCAAACCCAGGACAGATGCCCAATGGCAGGAATATGGGAAAAGAGCGAACTGTTATTCTCCATTTTCCTAGGAAACCAAATGAGGAGAGAGAGGCAGGACAGTATATTGTCCCAAACAGAATGAGGCTGAAATTTCTTAAGATGTACTGAACAGATCATACTGCCATGGGTAGATCTTCCCTGGGCCGTGAGCTGTGGCAGCCCTCAGTCTATGGGAAGAACTCCCAAGGGCTCCATGGGCTAGGTCTTCCCGTAAAGGCCTTTCCGTGCCCCCACAACCAGGCCATGCCATAGATCACAGACCCCCTAACCCCTGCGGATGAGCACCGCTGAGCCTGCACTTAATAGCTGTGTAACTCTGGGCAAGGCATCGAGCCTCGCTGAGCAGAAAAGCCTCTCTCTCAGAAAAGGAAGAAGAGCAGCACCTACTTCCTAGGATCCCTGGGAGGATTAGGTGAGGAAATGGCTCTAAAGCGCTTGGCACGGTGTCTGCCAGAGGAAAAATAAACAGTAGTTACCATCATAAAGTGTTTCAGCTAAAGGACATTGCTAGGATACCTGGGTGACTCAATAGTTAAGTGTCTGCCTTCGGGGGGCCGCCTGGGTGGCTCAGTGGGTTAAGCTTCTGCCTTCGGATCAGGCATGGTTTCAGGGTCCTGGGACTGAGCCCCGCATTGGGCTCTCCGCTCAGCAGGAAGCCGGCTTTCCGCCACCCCTGCCCCCGCCCCGCCGCCTCTCTGCCTACTTGTGCTCCCTCTGTCAAATAAATAAATAAAATCTTAAAAAAAGAAGAAGAAGAAGAAGGACATTGCTGCAAAGATCACCCTGAATGGCTGTATGCATGTTTACAGCTGAACCAGTGCTTCTGTCCCAATATCCTCCTTGGGGAGGAAAAGGTCAGCCTCGAGACCTCACAGAGGAGCTCGCAGCAGACAAGGGCAGAGACTGCCAAGGACAGTGTCCAGCTCCACAACAAAGATCATTCATTCAGACTCCATCCTTGAGACCAAAGTTTCAAAATGGCACTAGTGACTTAAAATCAAAAAGCCCTTAGCCTGAGCATGTTTAGAGGCTGTCCACCAGACTCCTGCCTGCTGTCCCGGCGCACAGTAAGGCCTACGGGCAGAGCTGCTGGGCTACTACGTATTCAAGACTGTCAGCTCCCACCTGTGAGGATGGCAAGGGAGCACAAGCAAGCCTCCCATGGGGGAAGAGAGGAGCTTCCAGGAGAGGGGAGCACAGAGCTTAGAGGGCTCTGGAAACCTGGCTCCGCCACTGAGTGAAGGAAATAACGTCATGAAACAACAGTTATAAAGTTCTTGTGATAACGCAGCCAAATGCTCAACTGTTACAGGAAACATGAAAATAAAAATTATGGCTACGTAAAAAACCAACTCCAAGGAAAATGACAGATGTAAGCAAAAAGCACTGCTAATATCTCATTTGCCTGAGCGACATAAGGCGGATGGTTTTTCTTGTTTTACCTATTCCTTATTTTATTCATTTATATCCTTACCTTGTGCCCAAGATTACTGACAGCAGCTCAGTGTGAATTTTCCATAGATAAAATGCACTTTTACAAAAGGTCACCTGGCCGAAGTCATAACTGCCTCCAGGAGAAAGGACTCACCCGCCTTCACTCTCAGCATCTGTGAATGTGGCTCCCGAGGTGGCTGTGAAGTAGACAGAGCTGGACCCAGTAGAGTCACTCCTCTCCCGGGCAAACGGGAACCTTCGCCGCCGAGCCACTCTCTGGCTCTCTTCCATGTGGGATCTGAAAGGCGGGTCCCTTTAGAGAGGGTGCCATTAGGTCCCAGCCAGCCCGTCGTTTCCCTCCACGAAGGAACCTCTCACTAATAATGCTCAGTAAGGAGCCAAACACAGAAAATCCTGGGTTTCTACTCTCAGAAGAACAAGAAGGACAGCTCCGGGCCCAGCCTGCACGGGCAGCCCAGCTAAGTCAGCATAAAGGATGTCAGCGGCTACAACAGACCAAAAGGAGGGGGGCCCAAAAGCACCATGGAACTTATGGAAGAAGGCAAGGTACGAAGCATACAGCTTCCCTGCCAGTTATGTGAGGAGCTATACAACTGGCTTCTGCCTCTGAGACGGCAGCAAAGGCCAGGACACAGCTCGGCTGAGCAAGCTGCAGGGGCTGAGAGCAGCTGAGGGCCCGAGGGCAGTGGGATGGAAGGCTGCATCACTCACCGGATCTCCCCAACGATCTGGCCGGCCAGGCCCTGCAGGCTGCTCCGCAGCTCCTCTACCTCGCGCCGCAGAGCTGCCAGCCCGGTCAGCACGAAGTCCAGGCGCTCCAGCACCTCCTCCTGCCCTTCTCGCGGAACGCTGGCCAGCACCGCAGCATCTCCAGCCTCCCCGGGGCCTGCCCGCAAAGGCCTCACTGAAGGAAGGACAGCACACAGTGACGCTCAGGGGACAGGGTGAGGAAGAGATCTTCGACCTGCAATTTAAGAACACCTGCTTCTCACTGGAGCTTAGTTTACCAAAACCCTTGAGACTCAGTAAATGTTCACAGCTAAGTCCTGTTAACAAGTCTTCAAGTAACTATTCAAAGAAAAAAAAAAAAAAAAAAAAAGATCCCAGTCTCTACATAAGAGCCCCCTCTGTCCGCAGAAGTTTTCCCGCCGGAGTCTTTAGCAGTACCGCACCCCACGGCAGGTAACGTAAAATGCTGGCAAGAACACAGTACTGGTCGCCTGGGTGGCTCAGTGGGTTAAGCCTCTGTTTTCAGCTCAGGCCATGATCCCAGGGTCCTGGGATCGAGCCCCACATCGGGCTCTCTGCTCAGCGGGGAGCCTGCTTCCTCCTCTGTCTGTCTCTGCCTGCTTGTGATCTGTCAAATAAATAAAATCTTAAAAAAACAAAAAACAAAAAAAAAGAACACAGTACCTAGAAGGCAGGACACCTGCGCTGCAAAAGGAAAACAAAATCCTTTACCTGTCTATCTAGTTCCCAAATACGAGGCAGTCAATACCAGCCACACTGCAGAACTAAAATGGAGCTCAAATTCTGGGCTTTCACTTCACAAAGAGCAAAAGAAACTCTGATCCTCTCAAGGACTTCATGTAGTATCATCAGAGAAGGGCAAAGAGAAAGGAACAGTTACTAAGAGAAAAGCCCACCCACACCCCATGGGAAAAACACCATTCCTGAGCCCTCATTGGAGCTCTGGGTAAATTCCAACAATAAACGCTAATAAAATAGCAGCTCCCCAAGGCCATTGGACTGGAAAATGTAAAAACAGTAGAGAAACCAGGAAGGCAGGACCCACAGTGCAGGCAAACATAAATGTGTTCAAGGACGTCTAGTGAGAGTCTAGGCTGGATTACAGCACACACCCGATATTCAGGAATGTAGAGCAAGAAAGAGCTCTGGGGGGCACCCGGCTGAATCAGCTGGTAGAGACTGAGATTCCTGATCTTGGGATCATTGAGTTCGAGCCCCATGTTGGGTGCAGAGATTACTTAAATAAAACTTAAAAAAAAAAAAACTTTTAAGAAGAAAGAAAGATCTCTGGGAACATCGCCGCTTTCTCCAAACACCTACTGCTAAGAAATTACAAATAAGCCACAAGGAAAAGACAGACAAGCACTCTTGCAATACTAGGTTACCAACATGTTATAAAATGCTGACAAACAGCTGCAACCAACACGGATAACTCTTTGAAGATTTCTAAAACTAACTTTTCCAATCCATCTGGCGTTTGGTAATCAGAGAAACACTCATTCCCAATTAACATAGGGTGACATGATCTCCATGCCTCTCCATTACACACACCTGAGGAGAGCAGTTTGAACCAGCCTAAGATGCTTTGCTCAAACAACTTAAGGTCAAAGTTTTCAAAACAAAAGCACTACCCATTTCAGCGGTGGCTGGCTTCCAGCAACATTCTGCCTCAATTACAAAACATGCACTCCCGCGTCTATGCTGTGCAAGTTCTGGACCAGGTGACCAGGCCCAATCCTACCACTTAACTGCTCTGTGAGACCCTGAGTAAAGTTACATAATCTTTTTGACTCTCAATTTTCTCCTAAGGATTAAAAAACAAACAACAAACAAACTTGGATAGTCTCCACGTTCCCTTCAAAGTCTAATACATAATTTAATACATAAGCCTCAAGACTTAATTCCCCTAAGATTAGTTTTCCCTTTTGCCTTATTTTGGACTCTTTTCTCTACTTACTAAATCCTTTACCCAACACTAAGCAAGTGCCTTTAAAACATACGTAGCGGGCGCCTGGGTGGCTCAGTGGGTTAAAGCCTCTGCCTTCGGCTCAGGTCATGATCCCAGGGTTCTGGGATTGAGCCCCACATCGGGCTCTCTGCTCAGCAGGGAGCCTGCTTCCTCCTCTCTCTCTGCCTGCCTCTCTACTTGTGATCGCTCTGTCAAATAAATAAATAAAATCTTAAAAAAAAAAAAAAACATACGTAGCACTACTGCGGCCTGAACTAAGAGTTAAAGCTAAACAGCCTTTTCACAATACGCTTTTCTGGGATTACAAGAAAAAGTACAGTAAACTTTACAGAAAAGTGAAACTCTCAGGCACCCCTTCCGTTGTCCCATCCCACCGGCTCTACTAAAGGCAGCCCGGACCCTAGGCCCATCCGTCAGCCACGACTGTGGCCACAGGGGACCGCTGGGACGTACCCTGGCGTCCTGGCTCTGAGGTCTGCGTGTAGCCCAGGGAGTTAGGTAGGCTTTGACTGTGGCCATGGCGCCGGGTCCGCTTCCACCGCTGGCTGTAAAGCGCACACAGGAATCCAAGGCCCGCGGCGGTGCCCAGCAACAGTACCAACCCGGCTTGGGCGCCGCCCAAGACCCCCAGCCTAGACATGTTGCACCTGCAGCCCACGTGAACCACCGGGAGCGGGCGGCCGGGGACAAGGGGAGAGAAACTCGTGAGCGTGGTCCTCCCACCCCCACCCCATCCTCACCCCAATCCGGATCCTAAGGTTTCCGCCAGATCCCTGTGCCCGACTACGTGCCTCTCACCCAGCTTGGGCGCAGGCTCCCCTCCAGCACACCCGCAGCCCTGATCTCAGAGTCAGGTTTCTGGGCCTCCAACCCCCCCCCCCCGCCCCGCCTCCAAACTCCAGGCCATCCCCCCAGCGCCCTCGGAAGACGACCTGGCCCAGCAGCAGACCAGCTCAGACCCTTACCGACCGCTCACAACCAAGGAAGCAGCCCTCACGGCCGCCGCCTCACGCTGTCAATGAGCGTGACGTCATCAAGCCGCGCCAGCGGACCCGCGCGCTATTGGGAAGGCGCAGTGAGTTGACCGCTCTAGGCTCCGTTTCCGCCCAACCTTTCCCCAGGGGGCGGCGCCAGCGGGGAGCGGAGAGGGGAACCCAGGAGGAAGAAGGGAGGTGGGAAGGAGGAACGCTGGGAGACTTATGGGTCTGATGCTTCCCCAGTACCCCTGCTGGCCAGATGAGGTTCCATTTCCCTCCAGTCACACCAGGTTTCCTGCTGTTCACGAACGTCTTTCTCCCTTTGCGTCTGCTGTCGCTTCTGCCTAGAATAATAACCCGTTGTCCTTCTGGAAAACACCACCCCCTCCCCACCTTTCCTTGACACTATTTGATTTCGGCTTGATTTGCTTATGCAGTTTTACTAGAACCATTTACTGAGCACAAGACAGTAGCACCCTTGGCAGTTCAAATTAGACCAGATAAATAAATAAATTGGTTACCTTCAAGAGGTCCCGGAGTCACCAGGGCCAGTTTTCACCTAACAGAGACAAATCTCAGCACTAAAAAAAATCTTAAACCTTACATTATCTGTAATACCTCGATCAAGAACAGAATTATAAACTGCTTTTTCATTTCCAGAATGTAAATGAAATTCATTCCTCTAAATTTTAAGCACTTGGGTGAGGCTAAAACTTGAGTTCGTCTCTAATTGCTTAAATTGGTTCAGATACCATTTCGTTTTTTAAAAAATCTATATTCTTCAGGATTTCTGTGCCCGTTGTGAAAATTAATAAAGGGAAACCAAGGGGCAACCATACCACTCAATGTCAGTTACAGGAAGAATTGTCAATTACAGACCCCTAACAGAAGAATTTCAACTGTAAAGAATCATAAATTACAGGCTCCCACAGAAAAAGATGTACATTGCATCCCCTGAAATAAATTGGCTGCCCCTGCAACTCAGCCTATGAAAAACCATCCTCACCTTTAACTCTTGCTACTCTCCAGTGGATTGATGTTCAAAACAACTCCTCCCAACTTCCTCCTTCTTTTCCGTAAAATAACATTTCTCTCCTTTGTTTGTTGAACTTGCCTCTGGTTTTGCTGTAGCTTTCTTGTCCTGGATTACAAACCTCTGCTATCCCTGAATAAACCTATGTTTTTGTTGGTAAAACAATTGGCAGTTTTGTTTTGTTGTTTTATTTATTTTTTTTTTTTTTAAGATTTATGGGGCACCTGGAGGGCTCAGTGGGTTAAAGCTTCTGCCTTCAGCTCAGGTCATGATCCCAGGGTCCTGCGAGCCCTGCTTCCCCCTCTCTCTCTCTTCCTGCCTCTGCCTACATGTGATCTCTGTCTGTCAAATAAATAAATAAATTCTTTTTAAAAAATAAAGATTTTATTTATTTATTTATTTGACAGAGAGAGACGAAGTAAGAGAAGGAACACAAGCAGAGGGAGTGGGAGAGGGAGAAGCGGGCTTCCCATGGAACAGGAAACCTGATGCAGGGATGGATCCCAGGATCCTGGGGTCATGACCTAAGCCCAAGGCAGATGCTTAATGACTGAGCCACCCAGGCGCCCCTGGCAGTTTTATTTTTAAGGTTAACACCACCATGGCCCATTGATTTTTGTAATTCCACTTTAAACTTTTGAGATTTTATGCAACTTCTTATAATTTTAAAAACTGAAAATACAGGACTATGATTCCAGTTTTACCACCAACATTTCTCTCAAGTTAAAATTTCGTTTAGTGACAGGTGAATTATCTAAATGAGTCCTCCTTAAATCCTTGTCTAGATATTATATTTATTTACCTTTTAAAGATTTTATTTATTTATTTGACAGAGAGAGAGAGATCACAAGCAGGCAGAGAGGCAGGCAGAGAGAGAGAGAGAGAGAGGGAAGCAGGCTCCCTGCTGAGCAGAGAGCCCCATGCGGGGCTGGATCCTAGGACCCTGAGATCATGACCTGAGCCAAAGGCAGAGGCTTAACCCACTGAGCCACCCAGGCACCCCTATTTACCTTTTAATTGTGAGATATTTTACAAATAAGAGAGTACATTTAATGTAATGTACATTGTAAGGAATAATTTAAAGGCAATAGGTTCCTACCCCTTAGTTTAAGGAATAGAAATTTACCAATATCTCTCCTGTTCATTTCTAATGATTCAGTTCAACTGGTATCTTCTGAAAAACATGAACTATAATTGTCTTGGTGGTAAGAAAAGAGTTCTTTTAATATACTTTTCCCCTAATTTTTTCTCATTTTTCTGAGATAAGCATGTGTATCTTCAGTAGTAAGACAATATTAATTTTGGGAGAATAAAAAGTCATTTCTTTTGGGGAACCTTTTCAGACTACCACCTTGGTGGGCTTAATCTTTTAATTTTTCTTTGCTCCTGAGGCTTGGTTACCTCCACTACACTTGGTTACATGAATATCTGCTTTCTAGTCTGGCTACCCCACTAGTGTGTTCACTCTTCCAGGTTGGGGTTCATGCTCAATTCATCTCCATATTCCCTGAACTCCAGTGCAGAAGCGACCCACAGAAGCTGAATATGGAGGGAGGAAGGAAAGAAGGAATAACCAGTACCCAGGCCCCACCACCCAGACAATGCCTTCATGATGAAAAACTGACTTGTGGAAGAACAATTTCTTCTCTTCCTGCAGGGGAGGAAGATCTGCCAGATAAATGGATTGTGGCAAGAGGTGAGGCCAGATGGGCAGACCAAGCAGGGGAATTCATTTCCCTCTGGATATTAAAGATGTTATCTGGTGGGCACGTGGCTGCCAGGGCACTCAGCAGCGGGGTGGGGGATTCTGGATGGAGCTTTCTATCTTCTGTGGCATCTGCAGACCAGTTTTGCAAATGTAACAAAGCCCTGGCCATCTAAGATGGCACTGCCTTCCCATCTCCTCTTCGCCCCAGCCTAGCCTGAGAGAGGAGAGCAGCAGCCCCCAGATTCCTGCTCTCATCTCTGCTCCAAATAGGCCAACTTCATCTACCCACCTGGCTCTTCCAAGACAGGCAACATAGTCAAATGCCTTGGGATGGTGGCATTACCCCCTGTGTCTGACCACTAAGGTAGTTGACACTTAAAAAAAATTGTTCTTATTGGGGCGCCTGGGTGGCTCAGTGGGTTAAAGCTTCTGACTTCAGGGGTGCCTGGGTGGCTCAGTGGGTTAAAGCCTCTGCCTTTGGCTCAGGCCATGAACTCAGAGTCCTGGGATTGAGCCCCGCATCGGGCTCTCTGCTCAGCAGGGAGCCTGCTTCCTCCTCTCTCTCTGCCTGCCTCTCTGCCTGCTTGTGATTTCTGTCAAATAAATAAAATATTTTTTAAAAAATTGTTATTATTAATATTTAATAGCTACAAAAGGGTATTTATAATACAATAAGGATTGAAAACATGTATAACCCTGAGCATCCAGGTACTAGTGTGAGAAAGAGAACATCACTTTTGCCTTCTAAGACTCCAGCATGGCTGTCCCTGCCTAGTTAGTGCCTTTCACTTCTCTCAGAGGTGAACACTGCCCTAAATATTACATTTATCATTCTTTATAATTTTACCACATATTTTTTATTGATGTGTAATTAACCTTATGTTTTTATCCCCAAACAATGTATTATTTAGTTTCGCAAGTTGTGAGCTTTAAGTAGAATTATTCTCTATTTTTCCACAATTTACTTGTGCACTTCGCATTTTTTATGGCTATGCAGTTTCTGTTGTATCAATCAACCAAAAACTTACTCCACTTTTTTTTTTTTTAAGATTTTATTTATTCATTTGAGAGACAGAGATCACAAGTAGGCAGAGTGGCAGGCAGAGGGAGAGGGAGAAGCAGGCTCTTCACTGAGCAGAGAGCCTGATGTGGGACTCGATCCTAGGACCCTGGGATCATGACCTCGGCTGCAGGCAGACCCTTCACCGACCGATCCACCCAGGTGTCCCATATGATGATCTTATACATGCATCCTGGTGAGTGAGTTTTCCTGAGGTTTATCTAGGTTGGGTTTATCTGGGTCATACCCATGCACAATTAGTTAGATGAAGCTATGTTGTTTTCCAAGGTGACTGTATCAATCGTAACACTTTCCAGTCCCAACAGTAATGTTCCCATTGTTAGACCTTTCCACCAATACTCAATGTTTACAGATTTATCTATTAATTTAGCAAATCATTATAGTAGTACCTCATTGTGGTTTAAAATGTAGTTTGAGGGGCACGTGGGTGGCTGGGTTGGTTAAGAGCCTGCCTTTGGCTCAGGTCATGATTCCAGAGCCCTGGGATCAAGCCCCACATCAGGCTCCCTGTGGCAGAGTCTGCTTCTCCCTCTCCCTCTGCTCCTCCCCACACTCATGCTCTGTCTCTCCCTCACTCTCTCTCAAATAAATAAAATCTTTAAAAATATATGTATAGTTTGAGGGGCACCTGGGCAGCTCAGTTGCTTAAGACTCAGATTCTTGGTTTCCACTCAGGTCATGATCTCTGGGTGGTGAGATCAAACCCCATATGGGCTCAGAGCTCAGCCCTAAGTCTGCTTGAGGTTCTCTCTCCCCCTCTCTAAGCTTCTCCCCCATGGCACTTGCTCTGTCTCGCTATAAAACAAATGAGTCTTGGGGCACCTGGGTGGCTCAGTGGGTTAAAGTCTCTGCCTTCGGCTCAGGTCATGATTCCAGGGTCCTGGGATCGAGCCCCACATCAGGCTCTTTGCTCAGCAGGGAGCCTGCTTCCCTCTCTCTCTCTGCCTGTCTCTCTGCCTACTTGTGATCTCTGTCTGTCAAATAAATAAATAAAATCTTTTAAAAAAATAAAAATAAATGAGTTTTTTTTTTTAAAGATTTTATTTATTTGACAGACTGAGATCACAAGTAGGCAGAGAGGCAGGCAGAGAGAGGAGGAAGCAGGCTCCCTGCCAAGCAGAGAGCCAGATGCGGGGCTCGATCCCAGGACCCTGAGATCATGACCCGAGCCGAAGGCAGAGGCTTTAACCCACTGAGCCACCCAGGTCCCCCAAAATAAACGAGTCTTTAAAATAGAAAATAAAATACAGTTTGATTTGCATTTCTGGAATTTCTAGTGATATTGGACATCATGTTATCGGTTTACCCGCCATTTCCATTCCCTCTTTTGAAAGTGCCTATTCAAGTCATTTGCCCATGTTTTTTCTATTGATTTATCTTTTTCTTGTTGATTTGTAGGAGTTCTTTATATGGCCTGAGTATTAATCTTTTAACGACTCCTTCGTTAGACATGAGGATCTTCTCTCTCCAGCTAAATTGTTAGTCTTGGAGGTGGAGAATAGGCGGAGGGAGTACAGAATAGTCAAACAGACCTGAAAGAGTCCTTTAGGATTACTACTGCCTGTTTCCCTTCCAGTGCTCTCCACATCTGTCAAGCTGCTGGAGGCACAGAGCAGGCCTGTAAGGGCCCTTCCGGGACGAGAAGATTGTTCAAGGGCCAGAGAAGGTTACAGGCTATTTTTTGTTTTTGTTTTGTTTTGTTTTTTAGAGAACCAATCACAAGGCGGGAAGAGAATCTTTTGAGTTTTCAGATTTTGAAACGAGATGAGGGCGTGGACACACCGAGTGCACTTGCTGCCCTCTAATCGGGGGCTGGTGTCCGGGAATGTAGTTTCTTTTTGCCTCAATCGTTGCCTTGTGATTTCGCGCTCGTTCGCTGCATCTCTCCAGCTTCGTGGGAAGCTCTCCGAAGTGGGGGCCAGATTCCATCGGTTTAAATCGCTCGGGGACTGACACACAGCCAAACGCTCATGAGGTTCCTCTATAGATTTACCTATGGGAGCACAGAAATGCAAGGTTCGGCCGCTGCACTAGGAATTACAGTCAGGGAGGCGAAAAGGCGCGGTGCACACGAAGTGGTTATTCTAGCTGTAGCCACAAGCGTCCCACCCCTGTCTCCCGTGCGCTGACGGAGTCCCCAGAGAATGTGTCCTGGGGACCAGACGTGGGGATCCACTAAGAGCTTTAGAAGCGTCCCTGGGTGGGGAGGGCTTGAGCTTCGGGAGAGTCCCGGATTCCTCCCTGCTCTGATTCGACGGGACGGGGACCAGCAGGACTTTGGAACCTAGTGCCCAAGATGTTGCAGAAAGCGGGCGCACGGTCAACACGCACGCTTTACAGCACGCCCCGCCGCAGCCCGCCTAGCCCGCTAGACCACCCCCCACTCCAGGCAGCGGGTGCGCGCCAACGTCCCACAGCAAAGTCCCAGAGCACGCCCCGAGGGCAGGAGGCGGACCGAATCATCTAGTGCGGGGGCGCGTCACGGGTGCCCGCTCCCGATTGGCCGGCCGCGGCAGTCACGGGCTGGGCGCACTGGGATTGGCACCGCCCGAGGCCAGAGCTGGAGTAACTGGACTCTGTGCGGCAGGCGCAGTCCCGGAGCTCGAGAGGCTGGCGTCGGCGCCGAGCCCAAAGCCCTGGGTGGGAGCCCGGCCGGGACGCGCTCACCATGCCCTACGTGCTCATCAGCACCCAGATCCGCATGGTGAGTACCCGCGCCCTGCGAGTTGGGATTGAGTTGGTTGGGGCCGGGCGGGGAAAGAGGGAGCTTCCACTGCACCTTGGCGCCTCCCTCTCGGGCAGCGCCCGCCAGTGACTGGACCCGGAAGCCGCCCGGGACACGCCCCCTCGGGCCGCAGGTTGGGGGCTGGGGAGCGGACTCAGCCGGGAACGCGGGGATCGGGAAGTTCTGGCCGGCACGCGCTTCCAGGGCCGCGAAGGGGGTAGGGTGCGTGCGTCCCCGCCGGCGGAGTGAGCTCAGGGCCCTTGAGGCTCCTGTCCTACTACCACCCAAGGAAGCCAGGAAGCCCTGGCCTCACGTGTACAGCACCCACTGCCCTACAGAGAGCGACTCGTCAGGGGTTGGGGTTGGGGTTGGAGTTGGGGTTGGGTGGGGGGTGGGAGTGGAAATACTTTGGGGAAAAGAGGTTTGGAAAAGAAAACGACGCGCTAAGACACTAAAACATCTATGCCAAGGGCCTGGCCCATCCACAGCTACTAACAGCACCCTCGGGCACTTCCAGAAAACCTTTAGGAGAGAAAGAAGGGAGACAGGACCTGTGGTTAGAGGTGGGGAGACCATTCCGGAGTCAGAAGTGATGCCCCTTTCTCTGGGTACAATTTCCTCATCCAAGACTGTCCTGGTCGCCGCAGGAATCCCCTTTTAACTTCATAATGGTTCAACTGGGCAGCCCAGCCGGCACCTCCGTTCTTTCCCACTCTGTCAGCGCATGCACAGGTCCCCTGAGATAGAGACAGCGGGTGCGGATGGTGGGGTTGCCGTGGGACAGGTGAGGTCCTGGAAGTGCCCTAGAGAACCAGTTACTTGGGCAGTTAAAATGTGCACTCCTGGGCCCCTTCCCAGACCTCCCAAAATACTCTCTACGCCTGGGGTTGGGGAATTCAGTGTTCTTCAGGAGATTTAAAAAATATATATATAGGGGCGCGTGGGTGGCTCAGTGGGTTAAAGCCTCTGCTTTCGGCTCAGGTCATGATCCCAGGGTCCTGGGATCGAGTCCCACATCGGGTTCTCTGCTCAGCAAGGAGCCTGCTTCCCCCTCTCTCTCTCTGCCTGTCTCTCTGCCTACTTGTGATCTCTGTCAAATAAATAAATAAAATCCTTAAAAAAAAATATATATATATATATATATATACACACACACATATATATGTGTATATATATAATTATATATTATATATAATTATATATGTGACAGCTTTACTGATACATAGCATACATCTCAAAGAACACACCAATTTAAAGTGTACAATTCCTTATTTTTTAAAGCATACTCAAGAGTTGTGCAGCCATCACTATAATCAATTTTAAAACATTTCCATTCCCTTGAAAAGACACCCTGTACCCATGCCCTGTATCTTACTCTTCACTGCACCTGAAGCCCCAGCCCTAGGTAACCACTAATTACTTCCATGTCTGGCTTCTTTCACTTGTGCATTTTCAAAGTTCATCTGTATTGTAGGGGGCACGGGTACTTACCCATTCCTCTGCTTTGCTGGGTACGACCCCACTGTGTGGCTCCATCAGTTCATCCGATTGTCAGATGGCAAACACTTAGGCTGTCTCCCCCTTTTTGGGTCTTGTGAATAACGCTGCGATGAACACTCCCATACCAGTTTTTGTGTGGACTGGTTTTCGTTTGTTTTCCAGGTGATTCTGAGACACACAAACATGGGTAGTGATGCCCGGCAGGAAGTTGCCAGGAGGCGGGCAATGACCAGCTCGGCTTGGAAGGGCTAGGGACGCCTCACACTGCCTGGCCTGATCACTGAGGGCTCCACCCTTTCTCAGCTCACGCTCAGCCCCCCGTGTTCCTCAGCACCCTGTCCAGCCCTGAACTGACTCAGGGCCAGCAGGCAGGGGAGGAAGGGCAGAGAGCCCTTCTCCCTCTCCCTGGCAGCCAGCCAAGCAGCCCTTGTGGCTTGTCTTGCAGGAGGTGGGCCCTACCATGGTGGGCGATGAACACTCAGATCCAGAGCTGATGCAGTATCTGGGGGCCTCCAAGAGAAGTGCCTTGGGAAACAACTTGTAAGTAGCGGCATTCTTAAGGATCTTCTCCCTGCAGGCCCCCGAGCACTGTCCCTGTTTCCTTTACACAGCCAAGCCCAGGGATGATGCCAGTGCCCCGCCTCAGAGGTCCTGCCTGCATCATGGGGCTCTGTCCTCTGTGGGGTCAGTCCTGCCTGTGGCTTTACCGCAGCCCCCCAGCTTGCTCCGGAAGTTTTCTCACTGGCCCTCCCTTCACAAGGAAACCCCAGGACAGAGTCCAGCTGTGTAGAGGACTCCATAAGTGGGCTGCTCCTTGCTCTGCCCTTTCATCTCAGAGCTGGACCCCATTGAGACAAAGACCAACACAGAGAGAAAGGTTTCTCTCCGGCTGGCTGAGTAAGAAAGCTAAACTCTACAAATAGGCAGCAGGCAGCCTGGGTCCTACTTCCAGCTCGGCTGCTGCCTGGGGACTTGGCCACTTCCCCTGACGTTCTTCACACCAGTTCCACAGGCTTGGAGCTCGCGAGAAGTGCTGCAAGAATGAGTCCCAGTTCAAAGAGGGGAGAAAGGAGGCAAGCTGGCCCCAGCCCCTTGGGTCAGGGTTGGCGAGCTGAACCCAACCCCATTCCTTTACCAGGAGGCATTTGCCTCCAGATGCCCAGCTTGGGGCTTGAGCCCTTTATCTGACTGACAACACTTCACAGTCAATCAGCCCTGAAAGAAGGGATGGCCAGCATTCCCTGTCCCAGGGAGCAGCACCCAGAGCCAGGAGCTATTAGGGGTCAACCTACTGCTCCAGGACCATGGGACAGGCAAGGCAGCAAGAGAGGGCAGAGCCCTGGGGGGCATCCTGGAGAGAACAGGCCATTCCTCCTGATTGGTGCAGTGGCCCCGTGCACACGGGGCTATCGTCAGACTAACGTGGGTTCTGCGATCCCAATGACATTTGGAAAGCTACCCAACCCCTCCAAGATTTCCTGTTCATAAAATGGGAGCAATCATGGTCCCTTCCTTAGGTTGCTGGGAGGAAGGAACAAGATATGCAAGCCCAGTGCTTGGCAGGGGAGGCGGCAGGGAGTGTGCACTTAGCCTGGCACTAGAAGGTACCCAGCAAGTATCCATCAGGACAAGGATTCCTGACCCAGCCTCGTCATCAGCAGACACCTGTGCGGGGAATTGGCGCTGCATGCCCTCTGACGCTGTCCCCTCTCCCCCTTCTCTTCACAGTTATGAGTACTTTGTCAGCGATCCTCCTCGCATAGTGCTGGACAAACTGGAACGCAGGGGCTTCCGTGTGCTGAGCATGACGGGGGTGGGCCAGACACTGGTGTGGTGCCTGCACAAGGAGTGACCCTCTCACACTGAGGAGCACACAGAGCACCCCTTTTTTGAGTGGATGCCACGGGCCCTGATCCTGAGTCCCCATTCACTCACCGCCTGGCCCCTCCTTCCCAAACTGTCATTTTCCTTAGCCGGGCACCACTGGGCTGTGAATGGCCTTTTCTGAAACCTGCCTCAGCCCCAGAGTATGGGGTGAGAGGGCAGGGCCCTTGCCCTGGTGCTCCCAGCTGCCCCTCCAGCTTTTTGGCCTGGCTGAGAGCCCTGGAGAAGGCCGTGTTTTGTGTGCAGGCTGAGGGCCCGAAAGAGCCAGGCTGTCCCTGGCCGGGAACTGGGAGCCCCCAAGGAGCACAGCCCAGGACTGGGTGGGAGGGTCCTAAGTACCTGGTCCAAGCCAATAAAGGCCTGTGTCGAGTGCTTGCTCCTCTGTTCTGCTGGCCCACTGACTCTCACTGCGCAGAGCCCCTCCCTGGGGGTCGGCTCACTCCCGGGGAGGGAGAGCCAGGCCTGGGTGGAACCCTCTCGGGCAGAGTCCAGGAACAAGGGACGCGCTTGGTCGGGCCAGCACCCTACGCCTACATATGCAATAGAGGTAGATTCTTGTTTAAAAAAAAAAGAAAAGAAAAAAGAAAAAGAAAAAAGAAAGGTTTATTGGTGACGTTCAAGAAGGGGGCTGTGGGTGAGTGGGCTGCAGTTAGAAGACTACGTGGGCTGCCCCACCTCGTCCTCCCGCTGCATCTGGGCGATCAGCTGTTGCCGCTCCGCTGCCTGGCGCATGCGCATCATGACGAGGCTCTCATAGTCCCTCTCCGACAGCACTGAGCCCTGGGGGGCAGGGGGCAACCAGGGGACGTTGGTCAGGGCAGCAGGGCGCAGCCCCACATTCCAGACGTGGAGGGCTGGCCTAGGCAGAACTAGTCCTGAGTCAGGCAGTAAGGAGGGCCCATACTTCTCAGCGGGCCCTCCTCCCCTCCATCTGGAGCAGCTATCAGCCCCCGCCCCCCAGGCCTTCCACCCACAGTCAGCCCTGCTCCATCTCGGGCTGAATCACTCCATGTGCCCGCCAGGCCAGGCCAGGCCGTCACCCTTCATTGCCTCCCCGCCCTATTTGACACTCCTTTCCGCCTCCTGTGGCTCCTGCTTCTCACAGGTTTCCAGTGAGGACATTCAGAGGGACAGAAATGCCCTGGGCTCTGCGAGACCACCACCCCCTCCCGGCTGCCCACCTCCCCGCGGTGCACAGTGCGGCTCCTGCCTGGACACGAGAGCGCGGAGCCCTGCCCTAGACCCAGCCTCTGTCAGCCCCCGCACTGGAAGGAGAGAGAAACATGCATGAGGCCACTCCCCTCCTAAAAATACACACCAGGCCTGCTGGAGGACAGGGCCCGTGCCTTTTTCTTTTATGATCTTGCCAGCACAGTGCGGGGGAGTAAGGAGTGCTATATGTCAATAATCAAAAGACTAATAAACAACCAACCCAACGCGCCAGTGTTGTGGGCCCAAGAGGCAGCTCTGCGATGGAGCTCCGATCCTCCCACCCCCCTCCAACCCCACACCGCCATAGGGTCTACCGCGGGAACCAAAGCACTTCTTCCATCAGTATAGCTAAAGCTGTGTGAAGCCTGCGGCCCACCTGAGCTGGCACACAGTGAGCCAGGCCAGGGGGTGTGGACACAGCCAACTGCAGAGCCTGTCCTGCGGCAGACCCAGTGAGTGCTCGCTCACTAATAAGCCGGGGGAGGTTCAGTGGTCAGTGACCTGGGGAGTATGAAGGAAGTGACCCGGGTTAAGATGCCAGACCATGGCCAACTGGTTTGAGGTTAGGGCTATACAGAACCAGGAAGTGTGACTCAACCCAGACACCCCCCCCTCCCCCCTGCCAATTCTCTGACCGTTCCAGCCTCCCTGTCTGTCCCAGGCTGTGGCATCTCGGAGAACAGGAGCCCTCCCAGCCAGGCCCACCTACCTAACCTGGCCCAGCTGACACTTCAAGGCAGCCCTGTGTGGCTCAGCCCTTTCCACACAGGGGGGACCCCAAAGAAGGCGCAGGTGACCCAAGAGAAAGGACTGGAGCAAGGCAGGACCGGAGGCAGCAGGACGTTGGCCCTCAACTGCTCCCTCCTGCCCTGAGGCTATGGGAGTAAATCCAGGAAGATGAGAAACTGTCAGGCCGAGGGGAGAGCAGCTCCCCCCTTTCCGAGGTAAGGCTGCCCTGCAGAGCAAACCTCAGAGGCACCCTGGCGTGCCCTGAGCCCAGCCGAGGGAGGGGCCAGCCCTTTATAGGCATGGGGCTGCTTCCCGTTAACACACCCTCTGCCTCTTCCCCCTCGTACCTGCAGGCTTGGCTAATGAGGGCCTGTCACCAGGCCCCAGGACTGAGTCACCCACACTAGTGACAGGTCTCTCTTCCTTCCCCAACAACTGTTCCACATGCCTGCCTTTCATTTAATACCCACCCTCCTGGGGCCCCTCCCTTGCAGACACTTGGGGGGCTGGAGGGAGTTAGGGCCCCGGGCAGAGAGGCTGCAGGGGGAAAAGGAAGCAACAGTGGTGACACACAAAGCAGGGCTGCCCCCAGAGAGTCCTCAGGGAAATCCAAAGCTCCCCAGTGCCCGGGGGTGTTGGCCACGGCTGGCCCAATCCCAGCCCGCAGATGCTGCAATTACCTAAGAGCATGAAACCTGGCTTCCCACCTGACTGAGTCACCTGAAAACAACAATCCCCACTGCCACGCACCGGCACAAACAGCCAAGCCACTCATCAGAGTCCGGGCGCTGCGGCGGAGAGGCCAAGTGCAGGGGACGGGAAGGCAAGGCGAGCTCGGGCCCACCCAGAGCGGAGGCCCCCGGGGAAGCAGCCCAGGCTGCTCCAGCACCGCGACATCCATCATTGGCACCTCAGGTGGGGCTGCCCGCCCTCCGACTCCAGTAAGTGCTGCTTCTTCCTCCTGGGGTTTTTCCCCACTGTCCGATCAAGTAACCAGGCCAAGCCTATCCCTCTGGGAAACTCCTGTTGCCAGGAACTCCCACCTCTAGGCTCTCCCGGACAAAAGCGCCCTCGTCCCAGGACCTCTTGCTGCCGTCCAAGATGCTGGCCAAAAGTCTGTGCTTCTAGCCAGGGCTGTCCCCACCACTCTAGCCAGTCACTGCTCCAGCAGGGACCCCATGGTGACTAGCTACTCTTGAACTGGGCTGCTTGTCTGCTGGCTCCCCTGCGTGCCATGGAGACCTGGCGGAAAGGCTCCTTCCGCAATGCCTCCTTCTTCAAGCGACTGAGCCTGGGGCGGCCACGGCGACTCCGGCGACAGGGCAGCGTGCTCAGCCAGGCGAGCACAGCTGGCGGGGACCACGAGGAGTACAGCAACCGAGAAGTCATCCGGGAGTTGCGAGGGCGGCCAGATGGCCGGCGCCTGCCTCTGTGGGGGGATGAGCAGCCCCGGGCCACCCTGCTGGCCCCGCCCAAGCCTCCCCGCCTCTACCGAGAGAGCTCCAGCTGCCCCAACATCCTGGAGCCCCCGCCCGCCTACTCGGCCACCCTGCCCTCTGCGCTCTCACTGGCGGGCACCCTCCACCACTACTCTGACAATGACCTTCTGGACACTCCCCCCTTCCAGGGGACACCTGCTCCAGACCTCAGTGATCCCTTCTTCTCCTTCAAAGTGGACCTGGGGATTTCACTTCTTGAGGAAGTTCTACAGATGCTGAGGGAGCAATTTCCGAGCGAACCTAGCTTCTGAATGGGGTGTGGGTGGGCAGAGGTGGGGTCACTGGAAGAGCCGGAAGCCTGGAAGGAGGGTACAGCTGCAGATTCGGGAGAATTAGGGATAGAAATCCAGGGTTCTGCCTGCCTTCCAGGTCCTAAAGTCCTCCACATCACCTGGGAGCGGAGGCACAGAGGCAAGCTGGAAATGCTGTGAGGGGGCACTTGGTGGCAGGAGCCCTGAAGGCAGTTGGCCAGGCTGGGCAAGGGAGGCCATGCCTGTAACCACAGGGACAGGGCAGAGGCCAGCAGAGGGGGAGGACAGCACAAGGGGTGAGTCCGGGGGAGTGGAGGACATGCAGACTGCGCGGGTCAGACAGGTGTCCTGCACCGGCCCCTCAGAAGCCACTGTTAACAGAGAGGCATCACAGGATAGGGAGAGGCAAAATGGTTCCCCCGCACTAACTATGTGTGGCTGTTCAAATTGAAATTAAGTAAAATTAAGAATTTAGTTCCATGGCTGCACTAGCCACATTTCAAATGTTCAGCAGCCACACGTGATGAATGGCTACCACTTTGGACAGTGCTGGCTGAACATGAACATCACTGGAGAAAGCCTAGCAGGCAGCTTGGGTCTCGGCCATGGCCTGGAAGCCATGAGTGCCCGGTGCGGGTAGGGGGACAAACAGGACCTGCAGGGGAGGGGAGGGGCTGGCAGAGTAGGAAGAGAGAGGCAGGTAGAGGTGCACAGTACAACTCAGGGGGAAGGGCAAACAAATCACTTGCCAAAAAGGGACAAGACAAGCCGCCAAGGTAGCTGTCCAGAGCATGCCTGGTGCCCAAGGAAGGAGGCTATAGGGAATGGCAGCCAAAGGCACAGGCACAGCCTGCAAAGGGGTGCCTGGGGCAGTTCCCAGAATTTTAGTGATGGGAACCCTTGGGAAATGTAGCAGGAACAGTGGCAGATTTCCCTTTCTGCCCCAAGAGCATAGGAGAACTGGATCGGGGATGGACATGAAGCTTGTGGCTGTTACTGTGAAGCAGCTCAGCAGGTCTCCAGAATCCTCCACCAGAATTGAGGAGCTCTGCCTTGCCCAAACCTCCTGACGATGGGGGCCTGCTACCCAGGGCGGGCCCACTGGTCAAGGCCAAGGGCTATGCTACTGTCCCCGTCTCATGGCCTGGTCAGAAGACTTGCAACCAGAACTCAGATGGGCTGGCCACGTGGTTCTGACACTCCAGGCCTCTCCAAGCCTGGCAGAGGGGGAGAGGAAGCTCTAACGCACACTGCTTCCATACCCATACCAACAGCCTCCCTCTTCCCTCCTCTGTGCGGACTTGCAGAGTTCAAAGGCTCCCCTCTGGATGCAGGAGAAAATGAATAAAGTTCTTTGTAACATGGCCTATGGAGTGTCCTCTGGGGCTGTGAAATGCTGGGACTTAACAGTGGGGAATGAGGTCTCTAAGGAAGGGCTCCTGCCCGTTCATCTTTCTCCTCTGTCCAGGTCCTGGGCCACACTCCCAGGGAGCTTCCCGTCCTCCCAGCCAGCTGAGAGCACACAGGTGAGCAGGCTGAGGCAATGAGAGCAAAGCCCTGCGGACCCTAGGGACCCTCTCCCCCACGGAGCGGAGCGGGCTGTGAGCACGGCAGCCTGAGGCTCCCAACAGATCCATGGGCCATTTCAGGGAAGGGACAGCCCTGGGCCCGAAGGCTCTCTGTCCTGCCAAAGTGGGCCAATATAACCAGGGCCAGGTGTGTGCAGGTGGCGAACAGAAACCCTCACGAAGCTGGAAGGCTGAGAGCCAGCGCCAGATCTGTGCCACACCACAAAACATCTGTGCAGGCAGTGCCCCAGGACCGGCAGAGGCGCCAGTGCTGGTGCTGAGGAGACTTCCTCCTGCCCGTTGGCCCCTGCCCCAGGCAGCCCCAGACACCCCGGGAACCGGAACCAGTGGGAGAGGTGGGGGACAAGAGGGCGCTCAAGCTGCCTGCAGCACCAGGTAGTCAAAGCACCCAGGGCTTCACATAACAACCAAGCAGCCTGGGGGCCAGAAAAGCCCCTCAGGGTGAAGGTGGGAGCCCCAGCCAGACACGGGGTTGTGGCGGGAAAGTAAGGTCTAAGTATTCTGTGTGGGCTGGGGTCCTAGCACTCAGAGACAGAGAGTCAGGACAGAATCCTAGTCCTGTTTAGGCTGGCAAACCTGCCAGTCTCACTCTGCTCCTGACAACCTGGATTTGGGAGGAAAGGGTCCCGAGCAGAGCCCAGACAGGAAAAGGTCCCACAAACCCTGGGCAGACCCAGCTGACGGAGGTGTGGTTCCTTACCTGTGACAGTCCTGAGTGGCTGGGGTCTCTCCCACCCTGCGGTCGTCCCTCCAACCAGGAAATCTTCAGAGGGTTATCAACCAGGCCCACTTCATTCTGGACAGCCAGCTCCTGCCAAACACAGTACCCAGTCCTGGTCCCGTGGCTCCAGTCAGCCATAAAATGGCTCTCTCTACACCAGCAGAAAGAACCAGAACCAGCACTGTCATCCTCCAGACAAAACCAAGCAACCCTCACACAATGATGGGCTGAAGCTTTAACCCTCCTCATGGGTGAGTGGGGGGTATGAGCCTTCTAACTGGGGAGTGGGGAGAGAGGCAAAGCATAACTGGAGGGATGCCAGCTCCCACAGGAGGGTAGAGGATAGAAAGTGTGAAGCAGGAAACAGAGTCGGTCTCTGCTCTCCCTTATCTTCACTTGCTGTGCCTCTACTCCCAGGAATTGGTGGGGAGTGGGGGGGCCTCTGGGAGTGTGGATACCTAAGCTCAGAAGGCCCACAGTACTGGCTCCTACTCTGAAATAGTGGGGCCACCATGGCCCCCCAAAGCCTCCCCTAGCACTCACCGCAGCCTTGATGGTTGCGAACTCTACCACAGCAGTGCCAGCCTTCTTACTAGAAAGCACCAGGTTGAGCACCTCTCCATACTGTAAGGACAAGGGGGTCCCAGTAAGCATGGCTCAGCCTTTGGGAGCAAGACAAGTCTGGGTTGGCCTGAGGCCTGCCGGGGCATTTTTGGCGGGCCAATAATGCTTTGTTGCTAAATTCCCAAAGAGGGATCAGAGATGGGAAAGAAAGGAGATTTTTGCTACGATGTGGTAGCAAAGGAAAGCCAGGAAAGGAGACCTGGGCAAAGGACTGAAGATTCAGACTGTCACCAAAGGTGGGAAAGGGGATGGGGCTTCTGTGCCACCTTCCCACCCTGCCTCTCCCCACACACTCCAGATGGCAAGGTCCAGAGCTGAGCAGGGAAGGCGACACGAGGCTGGAGGGCACATGGCAACACAAGAACCAGATGGCCGCTGGTGGAGAAAGCCTCTGGGCTGCCTGTGGTCTGTGAGACAGCAAAAAAAGGCTGGCAGAGATGTTAAGGGAAGTTTAGGCATGGAGATTTGGGGTTTTGGCTGAGGTGCAGGCAGAAGTGATGGGAAAGAGGGAAGGTGGCAGGGCAGACCTTCTGGAAAAGCTGTAAGAGGACATCTCTGGAGTAGCCGCCTTTTGACTCATCTTCCTTCTTGCACTTCCATTTTAGCTGCAAGGACAGCAATGGGCACCACCATTAAACTCTGACCTCGGCCTGAACAGTGCCAGCACCTGAGCTTAATGGGCGGAGCGACACTTTGATGGTCTTCTAGGCACTTGTCATCTAGGGAGTGACCTCGCAAAAATGTGTTTCTCTTGCAAACGGACAGGCTCACCTGAGACCACACTTCCACCCCCATGAGATGCTCCCCTTCCAGGGTTTCTGGGGAGCGCTGCCCGGCAATTGCCAGGGCTAAGAGGGCTTTTCAGGGTGAGCTCTGAGAGGCTGATCTGATCCCTAGGCAGCGGGAGGATGGAAGGACCTGGCAGGTGGTGCTGGCTCCCAGAGACCTAGCATCCCTGCCAGAACCCTTAGAGCCCCCAAAAGAATCTGTTCTTGTTGATAAGGGGTACTGTGCAGTGGCTCATGGGTCCCACAGGGCTCACCTTTAGCTTAGGGGTTCCTCTGCCTTCAGGACTTTCTGCCTTTCCTAAAAAATTTGGGAAAATTAGCAAGGTAGAATAGGAGGGAGGCAGCAGGTTCTCTAAAGGAGACACAACCCAGAGCCTGAAGGACCTATAAAAAGTCACTCCTTACCAAGGGCACTATCTGCCCTGCTGACGAGCTTCAGGGGGGAAGTAGAGGCAATCCCACCCGCACCCAGAGGAGCTGCTACCCCAGGGGCGGTCTGCCAAGCTGAAGGCCACGGTTAGCACTTTACCAACAAAGGCATAGTTTTACTGAAACAAAGTAACCCAGAACCTTTCCCCTACAGAACTGCTCTCAAATAGAGTCAGCTCTGCTTAGGACTCAAACAGGGCCAGCAGATTTCAGGCAGAGTGAAAACAAATAGGCCCCTGAGAAGTGGTGGGAAGAAGGGACAGGTGGTGTATGTCTGAGTCAGGTGCCCCCAGGGCTCCAAGCAGGTGGAAACCTCCAGAGCAACTCCACCAAACAGCCCGTGCGGCCGCTCTGGGTATCTGCCTCAGAGAGGATATCAGGGGATGTGAGGGGTGCTAACCTCTCAACCTCTGCTCCCGCTCCTGGCGTATCTGCTCCTGGATCAGCTTCTGCTGCTCCTCCAGCTGCCGGGAGCCCTCTTCTCGAAGGCGTTCGATCTGCAGAGCGGGGTTGGGGCAGTGACAATTCTGTGCAGATCCAATTCCAGGCTGGCTGACCTTGTGAGGGTCCCTGGGAGGCTCCACCTGCAAGCTAGGGCCCAGCAACCTGCGGGTCGGACAGATTACCCGGACCCCACGGAGGAACAGGGAAGGGCATGCCGTCCACAGCCATGAAAGCCACCCAGGCCCACCCTCCTCCTTTTCCTGCAGATGGGTTTGGGCTAACACACCCGGACGCACCTCCTGCTCCAGTGTCCTGGTGCTCCTGCTCTCCTCCTCCTCCTCACTGCCGTGGGCCTGGGCCTGCCGCTCTCGGGCCTCCAGGTCTGGGCATGAGAGTTGAGTGACCCAGTGTCTGGTCTAAGCAGTTTCTACATGGCCGCAGCCCACCCAAAGTCTCACGGAGGGTGAAACCACAGAGTAGTTCTCCCCCTCGCTCCAGCCCCATGTGCTCCCAAGTTAGTCTTCATCGAGAAAAGTCAAAGCACAGATGAAGTATAGGCTCCAGCCGAGTGGCCGGGGTCTGCAAGAGTTAAATCAGCTCCCGCTGACCAAGCTGGTTCTCCGATCAGTGAACAGGGTGTGGGCGGCTGCTTAGGTCAGCAGCCCAGGGCCATGTGGCAGGGATGCTGAGGGTGGAGTTGCTGGCCTGCTCCTGTGGTTTGGCACCACAGCCTGACCTCAGCCTTGGTGCTGACGCTTCTCCCACTGCAGAGATCGAGGCCCCACCATCTCCTCTACCTCCCTCTCAGCCCACATTTACCAAGCCTCACTTGGGACTAGACTCTGGTGGCTCCTACAGCGATGGCAGAGTCCATGTGAAGACATCACCCCATGTCCTGGAGCCCTTCCCACCTTCCAAGAGAAACCTGCCTGTGGCCCTAGGCCAGGCCAGCTGCTGTGACAAACCCTCCTCTCCGGCCTGGCACTCACGGCTCTCTTCTCTGGGCACTTTACTTACCTAGAATCACCAGGTTTTTTTGTTTGTTTTTGATAGCAAGATGGAAGAACCGGGATGGTATATGTACATATTAAATATATGGATGTCAAATAGGCAAGAAGAAGGGGAGAAAAATTGGGTAAAGACCTCCTGGAACAATCTTACTGTGTGATAAAAATGTTCTAAAGCTGATTTACATTCACAGTCGTACCATTTGGGAAATTTCCTCAAAATCATTGAATCGTACACTTGAAATGGGTAGATGATATTCAAAATACACCATAATAAAACTGTTTATTAAAAAAAAATTTAAGGGGCACCTGGGTGGCTCAGTGGTTAAAGCCTCTGCCTTCGGCTCAGGTCACGATCTCAGGGTCCTGGGATCGAGTCCCGCATCAGGCTCTCTGCTCAGCAGGGAGCCTGCCTCCTCCTGTCTCTCTCTGCCTGCCTCTCTGCCTACTTGTGATCTGTCAAATAAATTAAAAAAAAAAAAAATCTTTAAAAAAAAAAAATTTAAAAAAGAATGCCTGGGCCTATTTGGATCCTTCTGAGGGGACTCCACAGAGTGAAAGCTCCGTGCAGAAATGAGGCTGGGACGCACGGAAAGATCCAGGATGGCACAGTGATCAGGAACACAGGCTTCACTCATACAGCGTGGGATTAAATCCCAGCTTCAGTGAGTTCTTACCCTTTTGGTACCTTAGCTTCTTTATCTATAAAAAATGGGTTTGGTAATACCCACCTCCTTGGATAGTTGTCGTAATTACAGGAGGCTGGAAAGCATCTGTCACAATGCTAGCCGGTAGTAAATCTAGTCACTGCTGTTATTCCTAAGAGTGTCCTTCAGGACCCACCCCTGACAGAAGGGCTGTGCCCAGAGCTGGAGCCGAAAAGTTCGGAGGTGTTAGAATCATGGCTCCAGGAAGAAAGGTGAAGGGCTGTGTGAAAATGGCCCAGGGAAACCAAAGGCCACCCAGCACCACGATGTCACCTACCAAGCTTCACTTTCTTCCGTCTCTCATCAAGTTTCTGGGTCCTCTCCGCTGCCTGCTTCTTGGCTTTCCTGACCTTGTCGTATGCAGCCTGGCAGGAGAAAGGAACACCGAGGAGCACTCAGCTGAAGGACTAGCCCAGAGCACAGCTGTGCAGTCCCAGGGCCGTCGGGAGGCAGCCTGGCGATCAGGCCTCAGGCTAGGGCCACAAGGACTGGGCTACTGGGCAGAGTACAGGGGACTGAGGCCGAGGTGCCACAGTGGGCTCATACCACAGGGACGAGGCAGCTGGAGGAGGATGCGCTTACCCTGGCTGCAGCATCGGTCAGTACCTCCAAGGCCTGAGAAAGCTGGTGGAAGAGCTCAGCTAAAAATACATATTAAAAAAGAGAGAGGAGAAAATGAAGTTGGGCTTGATGACGGTGTGCTCCTTCAGAAAAGCACCTCAGAGAAGCCACAGGCTGGCAGGAAGGCAGGTATCAGCAGAGGATGGACCAGCAAAGGAAGGGGGGTGCACAGGCAACTGACCAGACGCCCCCCAAATGCAAAGTGCAGGCTTGGGGCTGCCTGCACGTGCAAGCACTCCCCAGCGCACCCACGGGAGCGGAGACGGGGCAGACACCATGTCCTGGTGAGCAGGTCTCACCTTCCCACACCTGGGAGAGTCTCACCTGCTCTGGGATTATCCGGGTTTTTGTCTGGGTGGCAGGAGAGGGCCTTCTGCCTATATGCCTTCTTCACCTAGAAGAGCCAGACAAAGTGGTTATTCATTCTCTCACCCCAGGACAGACAGGAAAATCTCACTAGAGCGATAAAGGGACTCCAGGGAGTGCTCCCCCACGCTATAAGAAAGGCTGGAGGCTCCCACATGGGAACACTCACCTCACCACCTCAGGGGAGATTTGCAGTGGGGAAGGCGAAAGCCGTGGAGGGAGCTGACTGCTGTCCTACAGCAGGGAAGCTGGGCCTACTTCCTGCTAGGCACCAGTGTCCCCGCAGAGAAGGGCTCCTGGTGCAGTGGGTTTCTTTACAGCCAGCCATACAAGTTTTAAAATGTATTTGCCCTCTGATCACCCCTAGGAATTTGGACTTGTACAAGTATCTCAAAGCAAGCATACAAAAATGTCCACTGCACTAGTATTTATTTATTTTTTAAAAGTTGGGGGTTTTGAGAGGGTGCCTGGGTGGCTCAGTCAATTAAGCAGCTGCCTTCAGCTCAGGTCATGATCCCAGAGTCCTGGGATCATGCCCTGCATTGGGGGGGGGGGGGTCCCTGCTCAGTGGGGATCCTGCTTCTCCCTCTGCCTCTGCCTGCTACTCTGCCTACTTGTGCTCTCTATCTCTCTGTCAAATAAATAAATACATCTTTGCGGGGAATAACAAAGCTGTGGGTTTTTTGTTTTTTGTTTTTTTAAAGATTTTATTTATTTGACAGACAGATCACAAGTAGGCTGAAAGGCAGGCAGAGAGAGAGGGGGCAGGAAGCAGGCTCCCCACTAAGCAGAGAGCCCAATGTGGGGCTCAGTCCCAGGACCCTGAGATCATGACCTGAGCTGAAGGCAGAGGTTTAACACACTGAGCCACCCAGGCGCCCCTGTGTTTTTCTTTGTTTGTTTGTTTAAGTAAGCTCCTGCCCAGCCCAGCATGGACCCCAGTTCGGGGCTTGAACTCATAACCCTGAGATCAAGACCTGGGCTGAAGAGTCAGACACTTAACCAAGTGAGCCACCCAGGAACCCCAAAAGATTTTATTTTTAAGTAATCTCTACATCCAACATGGTGCTCAAACCTACAACTGTGAGATCAAGAGTTACACACACCACTGGCTGAGCCACCCAGGCACCCCCATTTACTTCTTATTTTATACTTTTCTGTAGTTCAAATTTTCAAACCTTAAACAGGTCTTATTTTAATATCATTTTTTATAGTCAACAGCGGTTATCTTAGTTATGGTCCATCTTTGGTTTTTATCTTGTATCTCTGAATTAAAAGGAAAAAAAGTATTATTTCTTAGGTTAGTAAAAATAAAGAAACAGAGCCGCCAAAATTCTCTCTCATATATAGCCAGCTCCACTGTTTTAAAGGCAAGGCAGAGAGCAGAATCCCAGAATCTACCTCCAGTTCCTGAGACCTTGCCCTCACTTCTCCCTGCACACCCTACCTGCCACTCAAACCTCCTGCGAGGAGGAGCTTCTGCACAGAATTTTCCTCAAGTAGCTAAGCCAACTGGCTTTCTAGGTTTCTCAGAGGAAACCAATAAATACTTCTACCCAAAGTTGCTAAGTAAGGACGTTCAAAGGCAAGCAGCCAGCACCAGCAAGGCAGGGCGGTGGCCGGGTGCCTCACGCCACTACCACCTCGGACCTCTGGGATGTGCTGCCACCTACTGGGCTATGGCGGGCACTACATCTTCACGGCCAGGGCGACCACGCCCATCAGGCGCTCAGGGCGCACCTGGCTCAACCCAGGAGACAGATTCTACTCCAGGACAGGATCAGCCAGGGTGAATGTGTGCCTTCCTACACTCTTTCCCAATTGTCTACCTGTGCTAACCTGGCCCACGTGCTGTCCTCCCCAACCCAATCTAGGTTTTCACCATTAAAAAATAACATCCGGCTCTGATTTCACTATTAAAAAATTAATTAGAGAAGAGGTGATAGTTTTATATACAGTTTACATTTGAAATGTCATCTTTACTCTTTCAGCCCCTTATCATTCATCTTTTCTCCCTCTTTCTTTTGCCTCCTCCACTGTACCCCTGGCTTCATTTCTTTTTCATTTAAAACTAAGCCTTTATTATATATTCTTTATATATTAGGGTCCTGTATTTGTTGTTTTTTTTTTTTCTTCAATAAGTAAAACAATACTAATGTTCTTTCCCCAGTCCCCCAACCCTCTCTTCAAGTTCCAGCATTAACTGGATGGTGGGTATCCTTTTAAACCTTCATCCTTGACTATGCCAGCAAATAGAGCTCTTTGGGGTTTTGTTTCTTGCCTCTCTCTCCCACACCTCTCTCTCTCTGAGACGGGTGAAAGGAAGAGGCAGGGAGAAGAAGCTGTGTGTCACCTCAACGTGAAAGCTGCCCGCCCTCAGATTGGACTTCCTCAGTACCAGGATGAGGGCTGTGGCTACCGATGTTGGGGCATTTTGTGGAAGACAGTTTCTTTTGTATCATGGGGCTATTTAAAAGTATTATATGTTCACTTTTATAAACCTGAAACAGACAGTGAAGGGTGAAAAGAGGCAAGAAGGACCAGTAAAAAAGCAAGACAGACAGAACATGTTCTGTCTGAGGTCACTCGGGTGGCTCAGTCGGTTAAGCATCTGCCTTCAGCTCAGGTCAGGATCCCCAGGGTCCTAGGCTCGAGTCCCATTTCGGGCTCCCTACTCAGCCATGGAGTCTGCTTCTCCCCCTGCCTCCCTCTCCCTCTCCCCCTGTCACCCTTCTCCCTCTTCTTGGGCTCTCTCTCTCTGACAAAGAAATAAATAAAATCTTTTTTTTTTAAAGATTTTATTTATTTGTCAGAGAGAGAGAGAGAGAGAGAGCGAGTGCAGGCAGACAGAATGGCAGGCAGAGGCAGAGGAAGAAGCAGGCTCCCCGCTGAGCAAGGAGCCCGATGCGGGACTCGATCCCAGGACGCTGGGATCATGACCTGAGCCAAGGCAGCTGCTTAACCAACTGAGCCACCCAGGCGTCCCAGAAATAAATAAAATCTTAAAAAAAAAAAAGAAAGAAAGAAAAAAAGAAGGAGCATGGATGGCATATTCATCCTTTTTTTGAGAGAATGCTTTATGGACTTTATTCTTTTTTTTTTTTTTAA